ACTATCAGATTAGTGCTGCCCGAAATAAGAGTTCAAACACCGTCAAGTGACAAAAACTGTGGATATTATTTTATGAATATTTATTAAATATTATGTCTAAAGTCTAAAGTGACGTAAAAAAATATTTTTTTTTCTGTAAAAACCACCACATTCATTGTTATTACTTATTTGAAAAATGAGGAAAATCCCAGCTATTTTAAGACTTACTCGCAAATAATTACAAAACGATTAAAAAATTTTCTAAACCACATATGTATGTACATAATTTATTTAATAAATTAAATGTAAAACAAATGCATGATTGCATGCCATACATTTTTTCACACCTCACTAGTTTAATGAAAAGTACCAGATTCTATTTCCCTATATATATATGTATGCATATGTATAAATTCCAAGTCGTGTAGGCTATAGAACGTTAGAAACGTGAGATCAAATGTAAAATGAATTAAATTTGTAGCACTTAAGCACTATAAAGCAAACGATTAGGTACTTAAAAAACCGTTGAATTGCAAAACAAACAAATATATATAAATATAAATATATATACAATATATATATATATATGAATGTCAACAAATGTATATGTATGCACAGCTGTTTGTCTGAAAATTCTATTAATTATTATTATTATTAGGCCTATTTATCTGCATAAGTATATTTTTTCGATTTCATTAACGTTAAAGTCACTTCAAAGTCATTGTCAAAAGCGTTTAACAACAGTACTTGATTGCATATACATACGTACATTTGCATGTTGAAAACATATGTTATGAAGTTAGGTTTAATTGAAATTGTCTATTTAGTGATACCCTCAAATTGGTAGAAATATAAGTTATATGTATAATTAGCAAACTCAACTGGAGCCGGAGAGAGGTCAGGGAAAGCTATAACTGCACTGTTTCGTGCCGGGAACGTGGATCGGGACAGGTGCCGGTCTTTCAGAAAGCTGACAAAAAAAAAAACTACTTGCCTGAGATATTGCTGCCGTGGCTGCTGGATCAAAAGAAGGGCCTACGGCCGGTAACATTGGCCTCTTAAAGATTTTCACATAAGGTCGAAACCCTAAGCGGGGCTAACTGGACTCTTTTCATAATTTTGAAGAGTCACTTATGACATTTCAAGGTAGCTATTATGGCTGTTGCTCAGGGTTGCACGCGTAAACAGCACTTTATGCTTGCAAAACAGCGATAGGAAAAATATGAGATCTTTAAGACCAAGTATCGTGTGCTGGATTTATACATCGGTAGTTAGACCAATCCTATACTACGGCGTCAAAATTCAAAGACCAGCTGCTATCCTGGTAACAGAAGCACTTCCATCAACTCACTCGAAAGCCCTGTTAACTCTTCTCAGTATCCTTCCTCTGGACCTATACGGGAAACTACAAGCGGGCTGCAACTGAATTGGATTGAATGCGACTCAACCTTGAAAGAATTTCAGTATAGGACAAATCAAAATATTATCTCTTGCAGAAATGTCAAAGGAGCTAGACTACATCACCTCTTGTATGTGCTTCGACAATATTTTCTTCACCAGCATCCCAAACAGATATGAATGGGAATGACCACCAACGTATTCGATCAGAGAGCCATAGCCAACATTACATACGGCTCAAAGCTCAATGGAAAAGTGGGCTGCAAAATTAACACTCCTATGCTCTCGTTAAATATGAGCATGAAACAGCCAACGTCTTCCAAGCGGAATTCTTCGCAATCATGTAAGCCGCCGAGTGGTTGCTCACATATACGGTAGCAGAACAATCGGTTACAATATACTACGACAGTCAAGCTGCTATCAGATCCCTAAAATGTAACAGTACCACGTCAAACGTGGCCATAAACTGTAGAAACACTCTCAACAAGCTAACAACGAAGTACAGTACTGTTGCGGTCTGGGTACCAGGACACAGTCGCATCACAGACAATTGTATGGCAGACGAACTAGTGAGGGAACGAACCTTTCGATATTAATAAAAAAAAATCGTGTGTTTTTTCTGGACTGCCTCTGTCCACGGCAAAGTATGTGCTTAAATTGTCGTTTGCCAGGGGAGCAGACTCAATATGGCTGAACGAGATCACGTGCAATGTGACCATACAGCTATGGCCGAAGTTGGGCGCGACAAAAATCAAAACATCTTATTCTTCTAGACCGGTTCTCCATTAACATTACAACAGGCATAAAACAAGAAACTGTTTAATGGCATATCATTCTAATGATTTCTGCCGCAGCTGTAGGGACGAAGAAGAGGAGGAGACTATCGAGAATTACCTGTGCTACTGTTCAGCGCTGACATCTGCGTTTATCAAATCTCTCGAAATGGATATCTCGTTGTCTTTATAAGATACACTAAATGTTCCGATCATTTCAAAAAGTGAATGTAGGAGCCATGCAACGATATAACAAAGGGCCTATTGGCTTAAGTGGGCTGGTAGCGACCTCATCTAGTAAGTGATATTTTTATTTCTCAAATTTTGGCAGCATTTCCAGATATAAAGTAAAATTCAGAAGGATTCTCGAGTGCATTTTGCTCAATTTTTCCTAAAAAAAAATCAAAATTGTCAGCCTAAGAACTTTAGAAAATTCGTTATTGATGATGAATCTTGGATCTATAAGTACAATCCAGAAGCCAAACATCAGTGCATGGTATGGAGCCCAAAAGGATCAATCAAAAGGGTTAAACGGTAACTACAAAATGGTACACCAAAGAGTGCTTACCAAAAGTTTTGGAAAATTTGTTGGAAAACAGGAAGAAAGAGGATTTGCGGCGCTACTTTTTACATCATGCCGCCGCGTCATGCCACAGTGCTGAAATAACGAGACATTTTATTGCGGTCTCTGGGATCGAAGAAATACGTCCAGCACCTTGTGATTTCTGGTTATTTTCAAAAATAAAAAATAAAGAAAGTTCTTTAACAACAACGAGGTGATAATTAATGCGGTTAAGCTTTGAAGGCAAGATTTTGAAGACTGTTTTCAGTGGGGACTTATAGCCTTAAGAAATGCATTGAAATCAATGTAGAGAAAATGAAAAAAGGACAAAGATGACGAATAAATAAAAAAATAATTTTCTTTTTTTTTGTTGCTGGGCAATTTACCGAACTTTTGTTAATTCCCTCGTATTTATTTTGTACTTCAATATGTATTTGTCCATCGCACATACACACTTCACATTGCAACTCAAGATTTCTGCTACTACATTTTCTCAACTGAGCTAATATTAGCTATTCTAATTGAGTCAATCGTCGACCAGCACTTTTAACTAATCATAAACAACAACAGACAACAGGGACATCTTGAATTTAGCAATTCATAAATTACAAGCAACCCACTTGCATATATGTATGTATGTATTTTCCTTACAAATACAAAGCATCTTTTAGCAAAATTCTTCCCTCCGTTTGAGTAAGTACTCAACTCAAAATGTAGTGATTTTCCATTACGAAATTTCTTTACAAACAAAATTATTATTTTTTATTAAATTATTATAATCATTTATATAAGTATGTAATTAAGTATTTTACATATATTAATTTCATATCCCCATATATTTATGTTAGTAGTATTTTGTTCAAAACAAAAAAAAGTCGAACTGGCAAAAACCAGTTAGAAGCTCTTTTGGGCAAATCGTCAATTATTTAAAAGTTGTAGCGAATGACTAAGAAATATTAGGTGAAGTAAAAAGTTCGTTCGGTTTTTATCTAAGAGGTGGCGTTATTGTCCATAGTACTTGTCGCATCATGTCATACTATACGGCGCTGAAAACGTGTCTTTTCGCGCTAAAAGGTTGTCTTTGACAGTTTTTCGATTGATTGACTCAGTACGTTGTGAGCGCTCGTCAAAGATGGACACCTGCAAAGAGAAAATTCGCTATATTTTACAATTTTTCTTCGATCAAGGCGAAAAAGCAGCCAAAGCGGCTGGAAAAATTAATTTTGTTTATGTGCCCGATACTCTAAACGCACGTGTAGCACAAAAGGGGTTTGCTAAGTTCCGTTCCGGTAATTTCGATGTCAAAGATGCACCACGCGTCGGGAGGCCTGTCGACGCAAATTGCGATAAAATAATGGAAATAGTGGAAACAGACCGTCACGTGAACACTTATTTAATTGCTGAGGAACTAAAGATAAGACAGAAAACCCTGTGGAACCTTTTGCATTACCTTGGATTCAAAAAGAAGCTCGATGTTTGGGTGCCACACGAACTAACGCAAAAAAATATGATGGACCGAATTTTCATTTTTCATAAAATCCAACCGTTCCTGAAGCGTATCGTGACTGGCGATGAAAAATGGGTCACTTACGACAACAACGCGCGCAAACGGTGGTGGTCAAAGCTCGGGGTAACGGCCCAGACGGTGGCCAAGACCGGATTGACGGCCAGGAAGGTTTGGCTGTGTGTTTGGTGAGATTGGTAAGGAATCATCTACTACGAGCTGTCCCTCTATGACCAAACGCTCATTTCGGCACTCTATTGCCAACAAATGGACCACTTGAAGGCAGCACTCATCCAGAAGAAACCATCTTTGATCAACAGAAGCCGAATTGTGACAACGCCAGGCCACACACGTCTTTGGTGACGCGCCAAAAGCTCCAGGAGCTTGGATCGGAGGTCCTAATGCACCCACCTTATAGTCCGGACCTGGCACCAAGTGATTACCATCTTTTCCTATCCATGGCGAACGACTTAATGGTGAGAGGTTGGCCTCAAGAGAGGCCTTGAAAATCGGTTTTTTTGCAGTCTTCTACGAGAGAGGTATAATGAAGTTGGCATCTCGTTGGCAACAACACCACGAACAAAACGAAATATTTGATTTCATTTGGACAAATGTACACAAAGTTCTTACATTTTGAAAAATCAATAAAAAAAAAAAAACCGAATGAACTTTTTACTTGACAAATATATGTGTACATTTATATTGCTATTTAATATTATAATATTTAATGTTTTGTTCTTCATATTCATTCATGTTTCATTTTCTTTCTACTCCCTTTCCACAGACCCCCTGTTGCAATAAATTCTATAAATGCCGTTTCTGTCATGATGAAAATGAATCGCACCACTTTGATCGTAAAACATTAACCGAATTAATATGTTCCGAGTGTAATACACGACAGAAGGTACAGGAGCAATGTGAGGCATGCGGCACGCGGTTCGGAAAGGTATGTTACAAACACTATGTCTGTTACTTAATCTACCCACCTGTACTATGTACACGGGATAAAAAGAGTGATTTTTTAGCTATTATTTTTTTGGCAACACTGGTTTAAACAGCTGACGCACGTTTCGTATTATGTATCACTGTCAAACATCTTCAGTTTGGTCTATAATTTAACTCAGAATCGTCTGAAAACGAACAACGCTTGCAAATTATTGAATTTTATTATCAAAATGTGTGCTCGGTTAAGAAAGTTCATCGCGAGCTTCTTCAGTTCAGCGACGAAGCTCATTTTTGGCTTAATGGGTACGTAAATAAGATGAATTGTCGATTTTGGATTGAAGAGCAGCCAGAAGCATTGCAAGAGCTACAAATGCATCCATAAAAAGGCACAGTTTGGTGCGGTTTATGGACCGGTAGCATCATTGGATGGTACTTCTTCAAAGAGTGATGCGAATCGTAAGGTACCGTGAAATGACATCAAACTTCTTTTTGTCCAAAATGCAAGAGCTGGGCTTGCGTGACATGTGGTTTCAACAAGACGGTGCCACTTGCCACACAACAGGCGTAATAATGGACTTATTGAGAGGCGAGTTCGGTGAATATTTTATTTGACGTTCGGGACCGGTCAAGTGGCCACCTAGATCGTGCAATTTAACGCCTTCAGAATATTTATTGTGGGGTTATGTTAAATTCAGTGTCTGTACAGACAAGCCCGCTGCAATTGACGCATTGGAGGACAACATTGAAACATTTATGCGTAAGACCCCGGCCGAAATGTTGGAAAGAGTATGCCAGAATTGGTCTAAGCGGATGGACCAGGAGCTCGTCCGAAACTCACTTCAGCTAAGTAAATGACGGGCACTCAGTTCGCGAGATGTTGGAAAGGTAGTCTTCAGTCCTTTTTAGCTTGGTGCATTACGCTTATTGCTTCATACATCGCTACTTCTAAGGAAATGATATCCTCGAAACTAGAGACTTAGTCCAAATGGTCTCTTCGGCAATAATTAATTTGAGTTAAGTGGCTACGACTGCTAGTCTCGCGATTAGCGCACTTAGGTCTATTAGCCGATTGAGATACCGCTGAAGGGTTCCTATAAAGTTTACGTTATTGCCTATACAATTCGCAGACGTCCCAGCGAAGCAATCAAGGAAATTTTACAGCTGGATGGTAACATATGTAGAGCTCAAGAGACGCTTCCGCTTCTTCTTACCTACAGCTTCGACAAAAATCATAACCCATCCTTTTGTCGTTAAGTCCCTACTAACACTAGACATAGCTGTAGTGGACTAACTCAAACATCGTTTGTGTAGTTTATTAGCTCGGCTCTTACGTTGATAACACCAGAAAGCCGTTATATGTAAATATTGTCGGAACATTCTCAACTGGAAGTTACGCCAACAATAAAGTCCATTTGATACCCGAAAAGTTAGGATTAGCTTAAGTGTTGTCTGAAAGATTTATAAGGGTGTCCATATTATATATTTGTGTAAGCGTACGGGTAGGATAGAGTAGGGTTCAGTGCTGCGGCTGTAGATAAATGAAATCTCGTTCAAAAATCAATTCTGATACTCGAGCCTGTGTAGCAATCATCAGCATATAAGATCGGTAAAAGTCCTACCGATGAAAGGGTGTTACGAGATGTAAAAGTTGAAGAGAGGAAATTACCTTGCAAAACTCTTTGTTTTATATTTAGAGTTTAGATGTTTGACCTCGAAATTCTGCGAATGATTATCCACTTTTCTGGTAGCACATGATCTACCTCTTCAAACCCGGGCGGTAAGTCCTCAATGTCAGATCGAATGTTACAATTCGCGCGCAGGATCGGTTTTGGATGAGACCATTGCCTATCTGAGTGTTTATGGCGTTAAGGGAATGGTGATATGCTGCTGCACTCAAATAGGGTGTGAAAGTCGGAAGCAGCAAGACTTCAAGAGTCTTCGATACTGGGGAGAGGAGAGATATCGGCCGATATGGCCGGTTTGAATAACGGGACCACCGTACCCATTTCCCACACGTCAGATAATTTTAGGATCTTGGTTATTGTTGTTGTTGTAACCGCAAAAATATTTCCCCAAAGTACTTTTTAGGGAATGTTGCGGGAGTGATAATCCTTGGCCGGATAAAAATCCGGATCGTTCCAGTATAAAGACCAGACTGTCGCGGGAACTATGAGATTTTAGTCGCCGATAAATTCTTGAAGCGCTAACCCGCGGGGTTTTGGAGGTTTTTGCATTCCCGATAACCGCCTGAAGCTTTCTCCCCGGAGAAATCAAGCTTCGCAATGGTATTTGTTAGCTTGTGGCTTCCTTTTGTCAACCGAAAGATCGGCAAAAATAGCGCGAACACCTCTTTGAGTCTGACGAAGCGCGTTTTCCGAATAAAATTTCCACCCGTAGAGGTTGCAGCAACTAAAATACTCCTCCCACTTATTCCACTCCTGAATTTTTATTAATTTTTTGTGTTGAAAACTTAATTTTATGTTGCATCTTTTTTCTTACATTTCTTTACAGTACACCTGTCTCATCTGTAACCTGTTCGACGATACTGATAAGAAACAATATCATTGCAATGGCTGTGGCATTTGTCGCATTGGTGGTGCTGAGAATTTCTTCCATTGCGAAGTGTGTGACATGTGTCTGCCCATAAGATTGAAGATCGATGGACATCGCGTAAGTGGATAAACACATAAATATTGTATGCTTTTTTTCTCAATAATTCTAAGTAAATATAACAACAAAATATATAGCATAGCAACACATATACATACATATATTCTTGATTTCCACAGATAATTGAATTTTTCTTATTTTTTTTTTTTTATTTCTTATTTTTCTTTTTGATAGTGTGTTGAAAACATCTCACGTTCACATTGTCCAGTCTGTTTGGGCGATATACACACATCACGTATACCATGTCATATACCCGATTGCGGTCATCTACTACATAAAACATGTTTTGATCAATTACTCAATTCTGGCCACTATACATGCCCGATTTGTCAGACATCACTAATTGATATGACAGCATTATGGGAGTATCTGGATGCGCAAGCGGTTTCATTGCCGGTGCCAAAGAAATATGAAAATCAGCGTATACATATTTTTTGCAATGACTGTCACAAGGTGGGTGGTAAACTGTAAACTTAATAAGAAAAGTTTTATTTAAAAAAATATATATTTATATATATATATATATTTACTTTTCTTACCCAACTCTTTATCATCTTTATACTGCAGACCTCAAAAACCAAATTTAACTTTATTGGCTTGAAATGTATGCAATGTGGTGCATACAATACAACTCAAGATGTTAAACGGCGCATGTCGTTAGTTGCTGGTAAATAAATAACTGTAACAATTTGAAGTTCACACTGATTTTTTACCTTCTTCTCTTCCAGATGAACCCTCATCAGCATGACGACTGTGCAGAGCATATATATTTTTGCATGTAAAATTCTTGTAAGAAATTTCTTCTTTTCGGTTTGTTTCAACATTTTCACGACACTCGAACTCTTGCCATTTGAGATTGTACACGGCTGAAGTATTCAGGCTGTGACTGCAGAGAAATGTTGGTAAACAACAAATATTATGGGAACCAACTTTACAGCGTTAACCACAATTGGAGCTGCATTTTGGTGCTATATATATAGATATATATTAATACATTTTTATATGTTTCAAACATAGATATACATACTTATTTCGGGTATATTCATATATGTATATATACAAGCTTTTTCGTTTAGCTTGGATGCTTTAGCTGTTTTTATGTTAACTATTGCGGTAACTGCAGATTTGAATTTTATTTGTATGTATTGTATGTAGACTACTCGTCAGTAAAATTCGAGCTGGCATCGAATGCATGAAATCGAATTGAATATAAATGTATATCGTATTGTTATATTAAATGACATTATTATCTTTATTAAATACAATAAATTCATAGCTCACACAGTTTTATTATTATTATTATTATTATTATTATTATTATTATTATTTTCATTTTTATTATTATTTTTTTTTTGTTTCTTAGTTTATAACTCATTTTGTTTAATCAACGAATTTTATATTATATACATACATATATAAAACTGTAGTAATTTGCTCATTTTAATAGTAGTTTAGTTTTATTTGACAAATATGAATATATATATATATATATATGTATATTTAGTTTACAAGCAATTATATAAATATATTTGAATCTAAGACAGTAGTGGAAAGTTAAAATTTTCTTTACTTTGGCTTGTATTTGTGTATATTCAATAATTTAGTTACAACAAAATATGAGAAAAAGCACAAATTTCGAAATAAAACTTTGTTCACTCAACTAAAAAAAAAATGAAAAACATTTTTGCGTTTTAATTGAAAGCAAACACCAATTAAACTAGGTAAGCTATGGCTGGATTCACTTATGCAACTATAAACAATTTCATATCTTATAATTAAAACTAAATAATAGAACAAAAAAAAGCTAAAAAAAAGTTGTGCGTAAATTCAAAATTCACAATACAGTTTAATGTAATTATTTTCGCACTTAAAGCACAGCAGATTTAAAAAAATCAAAATTTTGGATTATAAAAGTAATTTTGAAAATCATTATTAATTAACGAAGACCGCAAAGAATACTAAAATGAACACAATAATAGTAAACGAAATTGCTAATACAATATTTAGATTTTTTTGAGCTATGCAGTTTTACATTAAGATATTATATTAAATTTCTTATTTTGCGCTATGTATCACTGTTTAATTATCACTATACGATTGTTTATTGTGCTATACTAGATAATTGTGTATGTAAATTTCTTTTTTTCCTTTTGTCTTTGCAAAGCGTTATATATTTTAATAAGAAATATTGAAAAGTAATATATTGTGCTTCAATTTTTTTAATAATAACAGAGAATATTTTTTTAATGGCTTCGGAAAAATATAAATTCGCAAAATGTCGTTCAAAATTAAGCTTAAATTTACTAATGTAACGTGTTTTAGCATTATTATTCAAATATAATTTTTATTCAAATATAATTTTTATTCAAATGCTTTTTTTCAATAATTTCAAAGCGATATTTTGTGTTTCTTTATATGAATGATATTTAATGATTTTTTTATCAAAATAAAAGCAGCAACTTGTTTTTAACTCGTCTAGATATTTCAAATATATACTATGGGAATTGCTTTTAATTTTTTTTTTTTGCGTTAAATTGAAAGGTATGCCACGAAAAGGCCAGCTCTAAACCTACTTGGCTAGTTGGGCAGGAATGTGTGCTTTTGAATTTACGAAAAATAGAATATCCTGCATTCCTAATACATTATTACGTCAATAATCTCAAAAAATCGTTTTCATGATTAAAATATATTTCTTCAAAGGCTTTCAAAACACTTCGATAATCTAATAATCCAAAATTAGCCTTTTTATATGTTAAGATCGCAAAAATTGTAATCACAAAATATCGATAATTTCATTGAAAAATTCACAAGAAATAGCTATAGTTATTTTTAAAAGTCGCTGATCTACCGAAGCACAATATGAAATATTTAAAAACAAAAAAATAAGTAAAATAGTAACTTAAAATATAATGCTAAAAGTATTTGTGCTGTGGTAGTTTAAAAATATATTATTTTGTCTTTACAATAAGCTAAAGAAACGTTTGAGACCCTAATTTTTTCTAAATACGGCAATTTGTCTATATATATATATATGTATGTATATTATATAAAATCACATATATAACTAATTTGGCGTTAATATCCATGCATAATAAAATATAATGTCTAGTGTGCATATGGTAGCATACATATGTAAATATATACGCACATATCTATTAATATACTATGCAGTATATCCTATTAGTTGCTTTAAATATTTGGAAAAAAAAATATATTTAATTTGCTTTAATCAACTTTTTTCAAGTGCTCTTTCTCTATATTAGCAGTTTTTATATCTTTTTCCTTTTGCTCTGATCGTTTGTTACTTTTCATTATTACACCCAAAATCATAAAGACACACCACGACAAATAACCAATATGATATACTGAATTATAGTATTTCCAAATATTTGTGAACGATGCCAAAAGGAAGGAAATACCAAGATAGCTGAATGCAAAGAATTTCGCTATCCAAAAGATGACATCAATAATTTGACGTTGTAAACCAATAGCATCCTTGCGCACCAATTTATGCCATACATCCTCCAACGCAACATAAAATGGTGCACCCATAATACAGAAATAATGGCCGGGACGAAAACCATGCCAAAAGGCGGAGCAGAGTAGTGTCACGATAGTTCTGAAATCAAAGAATGTTTGTAGTAATGAAATAACTACAGTATAGTATGAGTATTAAAGCTACAATGTTATTTATATATATGTATGATACATATGTCATGTATGTATGTACCTGTACTTCTTGCTTGGGAATAGCCTATAAACATTCATAGCTAACCAATACTGTATGCATATATTCCAGTGTCTCATTCCCTCACGGAATGTCCAACATGTTTCTACGCTACGCACGCGAACATTTACAATTGTCGTAAAATTGTAAGTACGTTTTTCCGCATCACGTCTTAAATGCGTATATTGTTTGCGTGGGCCCTCTCCATTTGCGACATCCGCTTCATCTGGATATGCACCAAAACCGGCCATTGTACAAACGCATTCACTCAATGTCAAGCCGGTGTAAATACGCATGCGGAAGGTGAAAAATGTCGGCCATACATACATTAGACGATATATAAATGAGCGCTCTTGATAAAATTCATCTGTTAAAGCATACTAAAAATGTGGGTTTAAGCATAAATAAGATGAGTTGAATTATATGACCAAATTTAGCATACCTCAAGTGGCCATATATAATTCGCTGCCAAATACAGTACACAATAAAGACAAGCGTACTTGAGTTTTTCTAATGTTGCGTTGATGTGTGGTGCATAGTCTTTAAATGGCATCTCAAAGTAATCGAGGTATGTGCGATAGCGGTAATATGGACCTGATTGTTATGCAAATAAGCGTGATTTAAAAACTCGACTAACAACGGCTTGGCAATTTGATACCTGTCAATACTCCTATATAATTAAAGCAATAATGGAAGATCTCAAGAAATCCTATATTTTGCAGCTCTACATCATAATCGGTTATTTCGACAAGCGGCTCAGCTGTTTTTGCACCTTCATTATTCTGTCGCTCGGCAATTTCCTTTTCACGTTTCTGCAACTTTTTCCAAGCATCGGTTTTTTCAAATGCCACGCCAGAAACCTATAATATAATGAAAACAATCTAATAAGTGTATATATGTATATACTCAGTACTAAAATATACCTTTAAAGTAAGTACCATCTGTATCATATTGGTGTGACCAGGATAATTTGGCAAACCAAAGATATGTGCCAAACGGAAGAATATCAAATAACCGAACATTATACAAAATGTAATCAAATGTCCATTTCTAAATAAATACAAGAGAAAAAAAATCGGTAAATTGATTAGCAAAAGTTCAAGTTCAATGTCGAGGTCAAGGTTCATAACCACCTTGGATGTATGTGGATTACAGCTAACGATCCAATCGTTGTCGATATAATACAATGCAAGGCATGTATGCCCGAAGCTATAAACACCACCAATAAACCCAGACCGGTGCTAATAAACTTTCGTGTAGTTTCATCATTTATCTTTTTGACGTAATGCCCGGCACCGATGCAGCCAAGTAGGCAAATAACATAAATCACGTCATCTAAACTCATTATTTAAGAAGCTTCTTTTTTTATATAAATTTGTATACTTTATTGTGGTGTTAGGAACACACAAAAATTCGTTTTGAAATTTTAAATAAACATAAACATGAAAAATAACAGCTTTTTTCGTAACAAGGAAATGCAATTGCTCTTATCAGAAAATAATGCACTTCGTTAGTGGTGGCCGTAATTAATCGAACCGTGCTACCAAATACCTTATATGTGTTATCGCTCTATTGTATTTAGTATTTTTAATTCAAATTATTGAAATTTAGGAATACTGTTGCGAAAATGCGAGGCGAATGTCAGATGAAAGAGAGAAGCCGATAACTAGTACGTTCTAGAAACGATAAAACAAGAACCTTCCATAGCGAACAATTCGATGCTTCTACGCTTTCGTCTGCGAGCAGCCGACTGCTATATAAAGGCGACACTCAGCTGCAAGTCAAGCAGTGACAAAGCAAATTGGTTGGCGTTAACATCAGTGAAGACGTAAAGTGAACGCGTTGGGAATTACATTTAAGTAGAGGAAATTGTGAAAGTTGATGTTAGTGATTATAAATAGTAAAGTGCAGTATAATTGAATTGTGAATTACTGAGAAAATAAAGGACATTAGATAGAATCTTTATAACGAAAGAAACTGCAAATTAAGTTGGCGAGTTTTTATTTAACAATCCAGAGATCGTACCCGAAGGATCTAGAAAATAATCGAGGTTGATTCAGTAAAATCGTAACAATACTTTTGTTATTATTATTATTTGTTTTAAAAATATTAAAATTAGATTTAAGTTTTTTTAATAGAAATTGATATGTTTAAATAGCTGAAAATTTTCTCACCTCTATACGCTATTAGTAAGTTAACAGCGAACTAGCAAAGACTGACAAATTATTTAAAGAAAAATGATATTTGGGAGTTAATTATTTTATTAATTTATTATTATCTTGCTCAGAAATGTTGACAAACAGTATCAATTTACGGCGGCAGCGGTGAAATAGCCTATTATTTCTTTCATCCATTGATTTAAACTATATTCGAAAAAATCGATTTTACTTTTAAAGCGATAGATTCATATGAAATTTTGGTACACTGACCACTCTTTGCATAAATTAAACTGAAGAATACTTTTTCTGCGGTGAAATGGCCATGGGCCGATTCTTTGTCAAGGTCAATATATGGAGATCCATTGAAAAAATTTATATGTGGAACATAGAGAGTTCTTTCTCTAGACTAATATGTGGAAAACTTTTCAATCTTTTTTATATATTTCAACGTAGTACTTTATAAGTTATAATAATGTAAACATCCTCAAAACTTAATAAAAATCATGTTGGAACCATCTTAGTGATCCATGCGGATGAAGTCTCAGGTCTCACCACTAGTCAAATATACAATAGGGGCCTTTATTTAAACTTGTAAATGTCAAATGTTTTTTATTAAAAAAAAATGTTTACAACGGATTAAAATAAACATAATGCTTTATCTGTTAGATGAAAATACCAAATATTTATTAAAGTATTTTGCTATATCTATATCATCGCCATTTGAGGTTAGATTCCTAGAACTGGATTAAATTAGACAAAATACTGAATATTATGATGTCTCAATTTCTCGATATATCTATTGAAAAAAATTTAAAATATATGACGCAGTTCAATCAATATCCCTTTTGGTGTTTATAGCAGTCATTCGTGTATCCAAGGTTACTTTTGATGATATGATATTCTACGCAAAGAGAAGATGTGTAAAGAGTATCCAGGCTTGCAGAAGCTACAGCTGTTAGAAACTCTACGAAGTACCGACAATGTGAAGAGGTGTTATATGTAAAAGGTCGTCCGTAATCCACGTAGTCATATTATAGTTATACTGGGGCGCCCTCCATGCTTTACTTATCCGAATGCAGCCTTTCCTGTAATCCCTCTCTCATCGTGCTCATTAAAACATGATTTTATTTCACAATTCCTTAAACTCTTAAATAAGAGCAATCAATTAATTATTATTATTAATTAATATTTTTTTTACTATTAATTAATTTCGCTTAAGTATTATTGTACATCACATTCAAATAAAATAATTTATTAACAGTTCATTATTTTCAATCATATTCCGTTATAAAAAAAATAAACATCTCTGCCATATAAAATTATTTTATTTAAAGTAATTCATATCGAAGTAAAGCAACCAAAGTTTGCTCTCACCCTCTCCTCGCGTTAATTATTATTATTGCTTTTCTAACATCAATTTCTTCAAGTGTACATTGACTTAGTGGAATTAAAGATGGGGGGCACTGAAAATTGGTCACGTGAACACCAATTGTCAGACGTGTAACCTCTATTTATCGCTCACTCCAATGGCAATATACCACACAGAGCTGAGGTGTGAAGCGTACAGCTGCATGCACACTTGACCCGAATGCTTTGACAGTTGAATGTATGGGGTTGCTGTGGCGTTTCCTAAAATTCAATTTATAACTACCGTAACTACAAATGTACTATCATTGAACTAACTTCATTGATGAGTGGTACCACTTTTTCGATAAAAATATTTGGTGCTTACTAAAGCTACGAACCCCCTGTAAAAAGTAAAGTGTTACTTCTTATTTAGTTGCAATATTTCCTTGCCCTTCGTTCGTTTCATACTTTCTATACTACTTTTTTTTCCTACACTACAATACAACACCGTTGGGAAACACAGACAGCGCACAATTCACAGCAATAGATTCGGATTCGTTTCATGTTCATCCACAGTTCGTTCATTCATTTTAGAAATTTGATTGCGTTGGACGTGTGTTTATTCGCGGTGGTGTTTGAATTGGAAAGTTTAATAGCAAAGCATTTTTTGTCGCAAAGACTTAATTGAAAACAGAAACATATAGGCAACATGGGAAGTAAGTAAACAAGTGTAAAATAAAAGTGATTAATAAGTGTTCCACTTAAAGTAAAGCCCTAGAAAAATTGTGAGTTTATGGAAAGAAATTTGTAAAGTTGGCGGAAGGTGCGGTGCTTTCGCTTTTCTTTTTTTCCCCCTCTTGGTGGATCTCAATCCATTTACAGCGGAGTGAAAGGAATAAATATTGCTATACATTTGCTTACGTATACAAATTCGGGTGTTTGCGATATGTCTTCGTAAATTTAATGTTGAAGCGGCATTGTACTAACAAAAGAAATTATAATACTCTGTAGCTTATTAAGTACAAATGGAAATGAATAGTTTTTCTAAATTTTCTATTCTCTAATTTGCAGTAAAATTCCTTGAAGTTATTAAACCGTTTTGTAGCATACTCCCGGAAATTGCAAAGCCGGAAAGGAAGGTAAGTAATGAATAAATCTCTCGTCATTTTATTAAATTACTCTATTGAAATGAGCAATTTTAAAGTAAAGTTTCTTCAATGAAAAGTTAAACACTTGTAGAAATTAGTTATATATTTTGAAAGTAGATGTCAGCTACTAGTGATTGTAATAGGCCACGCAAGCATTTGTTATTATTAAATGGCTACAATTATAGTTTCAAAATATACAAAAGTATAATTATTTAAGTCTCGACCAACTTTTATTTTTCAATAGAATTTTACAATAAAGAAAATTAAATTTATTAAAAACTTATTTAATACATTATTTTAATTATCACACATTAAAAATGCATTTGAAGATCTGAATTCATATTTTTTGAGGAAAACTAGTTTTTTTTTTCTTTCCACTGCTATCATTTGACTTTTTTTTTTTTGTAAACGAAGCTATTTTGCTGCCACAAGTGTCAGATTTTGACAGTTGGTGCGCTACGTGTAGCAGCGGATTTGTTTGCTACTCGGCTGAGCCGAATTAACATCGTTTTAACATCGGCAACGATTTCTCCAGTGAAATTCACGTTTGCCGACGTAGTAAAAAAGAAACAAATTTACTTATATGTGTATGTACAAAAACAAAAATTCATTATCAAATCTTGCTGTGGTTGGCTGAGAGGGAGATGACCTTATCAAGTTCCTATTGCTTACGTATCTACCTAGTTTTATTAAATCTAGGTTAATCTTAAATTGTTAAGACTCACAGTTGAAAGATATGTAGATAGGTTTGAATATTTATAATTAAAATGAAATGTTTGCATTTTTAACTAATTACCTACATATCGTTGCTCTTTTCAGATTCAATTCAGGGAGAAGGTGCTATGGACCGCTATAACACTATTCATCTTCTTGGTTTGTTGCCAAATCCCGCTTTTCGGTATTATGAGCTCAGACTCAGCTGATCCATTCTACTGGATTCGTGTGATCTTGGCCTCTAATCGTGGTACACTTATGGAACTTGGTATTTCGCCAATTGTGACGTCCGGTTTGATTATGCAGCTGCTGGCAGGTGCTAAAATCATTGAAGTCGGTGACACACCAAAGGATCGTGCATTGTTTAATGGTGCCCAAAAACTCTTCGGTATGGTAATCACAATCGGTCAAGCTATTGTGTATGTTATGACTGGCATGTATGGCGATCCATCAGAAATTGGCGCCGGTGTATGTTTGTTGATCATCATACAATTGTTTGCTGCTGGTTTAATTGTGTTATTGCTTGATGAGTTGCTGCAGAAAGGTTATGGCTTAGGCTCGGGTATTTCCCTCTTCATTGCTACCAACATCTGCGAGACCATTGTGTGGAAAGCTTTCTCACCCACCACAGTAACAACTGGTCGTGGTACAGAATTCGAAGGTGCCGTAATTGCCTTATTCCATTTGATGGCTACTCGTAACGATAAAGTACGTGCTCTGCGTGAAGCTTTCTATCGTCAGAATTTGCCAAATTTGATGAATTTATTGGCGACCATCCTGGTATTCGCTGTTGTCATATACTTCCAAGGTTTCCGTGTGGATTTGCCCATCAAATCGGCACGTTACCGTGGCCAGTACAGCAGCTATCCAATCAAACTTTTCTACACCTCAAACATACCTATCATATTGCAATCAGCTTTGGTATCTAACTTGTACGTCATCTCACAAATGCTGGCTGTTAAATTCCAAGGAAACGTATTCATTAACTTGCTCGGTGTTTGGGCTGATGTTGGTGGTGGCGGCCCAGCTCGCTCATATCCAATTGGCGGTCTTTGCTACTATTTATCACCACCAGAGAGTGTAGGGCATATTTTAACTGATCCAATACACGCTATACTGTACATTGTCTTCATGTTGGGCTCGTGCGCTTTCTTCTCGAAAACATGGATCGACGTTTCTGGCAGCTCAGCCAAGGATGTAAGTAGTATAGATTTTACGAATTCATATTTTATTGGTAAATTATTTCTAACGCTGTTATTTCATTAGGTTGCCAAACAATTGAAGGAACAACACATGGTTATGCGTGGTCATCGTGAAAACTCGATGATTCACGAATTGAACCGTTACATCCCAACAGCGGCTGCGTTTGGTGGTCTCTGCATAGGTGCGTTATCTGTAATGGCTGACTTTTTGGGCGCCATTGGTTCAGGTACCGGTATTTTGTTGGCTGTAACCATCATCTACCAATACTTCGAGATCTTTGTGAAAGAACAATCCGAAATGGGTGGCATGGGCACCTTACTGTTTTAAGTTGTTGGTGCTTTGTACATTAATTAAATGAGATATTGTTTATGAGACGTAACTCACTCACTCAAAGTAATGTTTGCTTTGAGCCCAACGACTACCGCTACATACATAGTTTATATGTACTGTTACTTGTTCTAAACATTTGATCTATGAAATTTTATGTAAGATTTAAGCCTGTACGGACAGTTGAACCTAACGGATTCAATATACTTCATGTCCTCAACTCGCCACACAAATCGCACACATCAATCAAACATTTCCACATTAAAAACAAATGACTTAAGTCTTTCATCTTTATTATGTATGATTTTTTTTTTTTTCTTTTTTAACTAACAAGTAGCGTCCAATTTTATGGTCGACTTTAAGATGTTTCTTTGAAAAATGTGTAATGTGTTATATTTTTTATATTCGCGAAATCGCAACGAAACCATTACTGTGCGTAAGCGGTGACATGGTAGCAACAACAAGAACAGTAACATAGAAAACTTCATTCAAACAAAAAGAACATAATAGACTTTCCTTATGTTTAATTTAATATTATTTCAATTGTTATATTAATTGTGTTTGCGATATAGCAATAGCTGAAATGTTTACACTTACGACTCATCATGTGGTAGCGGTTGTCTAGCTATAAACTGTCAGGGCAAGCAATTAATGTAATAATATGCAATAATATTAAGATCTACATAATAGTTAATTTATACAGAAAAAAATGAAGTTATAATAAAAGCTAGACATTTAATATTAAGTTGTAATAAAATGAAGAAAACAAAAGTTTTAAAATTTAATAAAAAATCGTAAAATCTAAAAACAAATGTCTTTATTTAAGTATTCAATACTCTGTTGGCAGTTGATTCAGATGTAGTTATGGTTGACGGAAGCTATAATCAAAATTAAGTAAAGTTTCTTTCTATTCTTTGAAACCAGTCTTTACTTTTAAAATTCTCTGATTAAAACTTGTTCACGGAGAGTGATTATGCATTTATCTCTTTTCCTGCACGGGTTATGTTCGTATAGACTTTTGGAAAGACAGTGTTCGAGACTTGGTCCGACAAAGACCCATAAAATATAAAAAATTAACTTACATAAGAAATGAAAATTAATTTTTGTAATGGCGCTCGCTTTCGGCATAAAATAAAAATCCATCAGCCGTTCGGAGGCAGCTTAGTATAAACCATAAACTGCATTTGTTTGGAAAATCATTTAAAAACACCACAAAATGGAAAAGGTGCTCGGCAGAAACTCAGCGGTTACAATGCGCCAATATGTTTGATTCTCTTTCGTTGCTTCCCTCAAATCTATTGAACATGACCTTGTATTTACGGAGTTAAATACAGAAATAATAATGTCTCTCAACCCCGCGTCTCCACTGGCGATCATCGACATTCTGAATTAAGTTTAAAGGTTTCAGATTGCCATGGATTCATAATATATAAAAATTTTTGACAACATGTATATAATAATTATAAGTGTCGTGAGGGCCAGGCATTATGTCTCAAATAATCCCGAAATATTGTTAAAGCAATCAGAAAGGATTTGTTTTTAGTTGTATAAGAGGTAATATTACGTCAGGGAATATATATGGAATTATAGATCTGTTTTAATTTAGCAATTAATGAATAAATATAAATAATTAAAACATTACGAGCTCTGAAATTTTAAAGTTTTCTAAAAATCTTTTGATGCAACTCTGCATAAGTGCCAAATTCTTGATCAAAACAAAATAAATGATATTTCATTTTTAAATCGCGTGTAGTCTTTATACTACAGTTTAATTTACTTTTCTTTGAAATATAACCAAATAATAATTTTGTAATAAAATGTCCAACTTTGAACTGCTTAGCGAGCAAGGATTACGTTTAGATGGCCGTAGGCCACATGAACTTCGTTGTATTAAATGTAAACTTGGTGTATTTGAGCAACCTGATGGCAGCGCATATTTAGAGCAGGGCAATACAAAAGTACTTGCTGCTGTATATGGGCCACATCAAGCACAAAGCAATAAACTAGATCTTAATGAAGTAGTTATTAATTGTCAATATAGTATGGCGACATTTTCAACTGCGGAACGTAAGAATAGACCACGCGGTGACCGAAAATCACAAGAAATCACTCTATACCTAAGACAGGCTTTACGTGCGGCCATTAAAACGGAACTTTATCCACGTTCACAGATTGATGTATATGTAGAAGTGTTACAAGCAGATGGTGCTAATTATGCAGTTGCTCTTAATGCCGCCACATTAGCACTAGTGGATGCCGGTATATGTCTTAAAGAATATGTTGTGGCATGTACTGCTTCGTTAAGTAAAAATAATATTCCCCTCACCGATGTATCACATGTTGAAGAAATGTCTGGTGGACCAACATTAACAGTGGCATCTTTACCAACATCAAATAAAATTGCATTCATGGAAATGTCACAGCGTTTCCATCTCGATAACTTACCGGCTGTTATGGAGCAGGCGTTAAATGGCTGCCGTGAAATACAGGCTATTATGGAGAAAGAAGTGCGTAAACATCTCATGCAGATGGGTTCAGCTGGAGACTGGAGTAATATTGCTAAATAATTTTTAAGTAATTTGAGCATAATAAAACACTATTATTATACGCTTAGATTTTATGCATTTATATTAATTCATTTGCCTTCTTCATAGAGTCTTTTTCTGTTACACCATGTAAAGCTTCAAAATCATTAATTAAATCTATTAATTTAGCTCTTCTATACTCATTAGCTACGCGTTGTATTAATCTTTCTAAATCTTCACCACCATCGAGAAATTCTTTTAAATTATGTACTGTGCCATTCGTTATACGATGATCTGTAATACGATCTTGTACAAAATTGTAAGTACGTATTTTTTCATTTCTATTCAAATTTCCTTGTTGTGATTTTCGAGTGCGTTTCTCATTTGCTTCCTTACTTTCCAATTCGCGCTGCACTAATTTTGCATGTAGACGTTGTAAGGCACGTTCACGATTTTTCAATTGTGAACGCTCGGCTTGGCACTCCACCGCAAGACCTGTAGGCAAGTGCACAACGCGTACTGCTGAATCTGTGGTGTTAACATGTTGGCCGCCTGCACCACTTGCACGTTTCGTTTCTATTTTTAAATCTTTTTCAGAAATATTAACTTCAATATCATCAGGTCGGGGAATAACCGTTACCGAAGCTGTACTAGTATGAATACGTCCCGATTTCTCGGTGGCCGGCACACGTTGTACCCTATGCACACCAGCTTCATATTGCAACTGATGAAAAGCATCTCTATTCTCTACAATGACATTAGCATGCCGCAAACCACCAATATCAGTCTCCCCATCATCAATAATTTCAAATGTCCAACCATTATAATCGAAATAGCTCGTATACATATCAAAAAGCTCACGTGCAAACAGCATAGCTTCCTGCCCACCAGCACCAGCATTCACTTCAAATATTAGTGAATTGAATGTTTGATCTTCAGTTAAAAGAAGCATTTGATTGAGTAATGCTTCTTCAGTTTGTCGCAAAAGGTCACCATACACCTATAAATATAATGCAGAAATAAAATAGAGCATTATATTATAGTTTGATTTATGATCTTCTTATCTACTTCATTTTCTTCCATCAACAATTGTCGCATTTCTTCATCCTTTTCATTATCAATGTCTTCTTTACTAGCAAACTTTGATTTTAGCACACGATATTGTTCGAGAGCAGAAACAACGCCATCTAAGCGATTGAGGCGTGGTAATGTCTGCGTAGTAGGATTACTCCGTAAGTTGTAGAATTCCAGACGTATACTTTCTAGAAATTTTTGTGTTTTCTCATTGTCAATGTTAAATGTATCTTTATTTGCTCGGTGAGCTGTAAACGAAAATAGCCGGTTCTGGTTGGGTTGTTGAGTTGAAAGTAGTAAACATTTTATTTTATGCACTGTACTGCGTGCTAATATTTTATTTAACATCATTATATAATCGAAATTAAAATATATTAAATTTTAATATTTTATAAACTAAATGCGTATGCAACGGTTAATCTTATTTACAATAATAAAAAACAGCTGATTTAAGCAAATGGCAAAATGAATGTTGAAGATAAATGTCAAAACAACGGCTATGATCTCCTTATGCTAATCTCATATCTCCACATGCTATCAGGGATTGCTCAAAAACTTTCCGGCTTGGAAGTAACTTTTGTAAGTGGGCCCGTGGGTTACTTAAATATTCATGCATTAAATGGCAACAACGAATTGAAAAATAAAAACTTAATAATTATAAGCTTTGTGCAATTTATTTTGTGATATCAGTGATTTCTTTTGGAGGCATTAATAGATTGCATACAGATGAAGAAAAAAATCAAATAAAATAAATCAAATTCAAAAATCAAAGAATTATTGTTTCAGTTTTTTTTGGGTTTTGTCTTAAAAACAATTTCATATTAAAATATAAGGTTAAAAACTGATTAATTAACTCTTTTGCATATCAAAAAAGTTGATTTTTTGTACATTTCCAGAAACAATAATAAACAAATTTATAAAAACCATTAAAAAACATAATTATACATTGTGCAGCCACGACTGTGCATAATTTCCATTTTTTTTTTTAGCAAAACTATAAGAATACCAACCCGGCAGCTTAGGATTATATTTGATATCAAAGTGACATCTGTTTGACATTTGTGAAGATATAAACTTAAATGGCTGCCGCTTAGCAAGGAAAAGATTATTTATAGAAATTGAAAATAGTACGAAAAAAGTGGAAATAATAAACAATTGGTTTATACACAGCGAATGTGATTTAAAAGTTTCAAAAATGTCAAACGCAGCAGCAGGTATGAGAAAAGTAAATTTATTTTCTATGAAAGCTTTAAAAAGTCAGATGGCTTCAAATGTTCGCTTTTTTTTAATATGTTTTATTCTAAAAAAGGTAGTGTATATTAAAATGTATTCCTTATGTACAGCGCAATGGGTGAAGTTCTTCAATGCCTCCGGTATACCATCACCAGCAGCAGCCAGCTATGCACATATATTTGTGGAAAATCGTATACAAAATGACATGTTAATGGATCTCAATAAAGAATATTTACGTGAAATGGGCATAACACCAATGGGCGATATTATTGCTATATTGAGGTAGGTTTACCCAGCGATATACTACAAAACATTGTTTAGATATAAATAATTAATTAATATTAAATATATTAATTGTTATAAAAATTAGACATGCTAAAACTGTCAGTGATCAAACTGCACGAGAAAAAGTACTCACCAATTCGGAAATGTGTGTACCAATCGCAGCTGTGCCAGCAAATCCACATCTATCACAAGATCATCCCACTACAACCACTAAAGTCCGACTAAAGTGTAAGTATTCGATAATTATTCGATTGTATATGTTTTATTGTTATATATTAACAATACTAATGTTTTTGAAAAAGTATAAGGCAATAAGATTTTCACATTCAATATAGCGGTACCAGTAAGATCAAGTACTTCGGGCGGTAGCAGTAGTAGCAGCCGTGTATTTATGAAGCCTTTCGATGAAAAAGAAGGGCCACTACCAAAACAAGCCAGACGCGTTTTACCCGAGCATGAGGGCAAATATAAGATTAAGCTGCCTTCTGGCAACACAAAACGTAGTAAAGAAATACTTGCCAAGAAAGAAAAATGTAAGTGCATCGAGAGACTTAATATAAAAACATTTAAAATTATGTCTGATTTTAGTTTATTACATTTACAAAATTCCATTTATCTTTTTTAGTGTATTCACAACGTGAAGGTACGCAACGTTCACAAGTATTTGAACGCCTGGCCAAAAACTCTGCTTCCGCAATCGATTTGGCTAACGAAGAATCAGATGAAGGTGAAATCAGCAGCGACGGAAACAATAGTAAAAATGTGAAAGTTACTACCATACGTAATGTACAAATGAGGGTAACTGGTATTGATGGCAGCAGTCATAAAACTCTTGGTGGGTCATCAATATTCTCACGATTGGGTGGAAAAACACTGGAAAATGCTGATAATGATCTAATCATAGCCAAGCAAATTAAGCCAATATTGAAGAATGGACCAAAAACAGTGGTAGGAAAAGAAACACATACAAAGTTTTGAAATCTTAATTAATTTCACAAGTTATTGTCTCGTTTTAGAATCACTCTGCAATTGTTAAATCAAGGACTATTGCTTCGAGTGTAACCCCAGTACGTATACATCCACAAAAGCAAAAGGTTATATTAGTTAAGAAAGTTCCATTAAAAACTAACGACAGTGACGATGATGACGATGATTCAATCAATAGCGTTAATGACATGGATATGGATGATATTGTGACCAGTTCCAATACTGTTAGCAGCAGTGAAAAAATTGTTAAATTCGCATCTACAGCAGAGGTGCGTGAAATAGCGCCGGAGCCACGTTTTAAGCAATCGCCCAAAGAAAGAAATTACAAATCAAGCGGCGGTGGTGCGTACCATGGAAATTCAGCAGGCGGTGTTAAATCGAGACTGGGCTTAAGTAAGTAATAATATTAAGGCCGTTAAAATAGTTCAATTTGATGTTTATATATATAAATATATATATTTCCTTTCATTTTCTAGATAATATCTTACATACTACGAAAAAAACTTACAACTTGAAGGCCGCTACCAATATAAATTCAAAATCCCGCATTAGTCCCGTCAAAGTAAAGTCATTACGTTTGAAGTCCGATGAGATTATGATGCGCCAAGAGTTACCGGTACATCGTAGATTGGGTGGTGGGAGCAACACTTCAACGTCTGCAAAGTCCATGTCAGCACTTTCTAAGCGTGTTGGCAAAGTGAATATTTCAAAGAATTCTTCTACAATACAAAGAATGCCGAAACAAAAAAACTCTACTTCAGTTTTCGATCGACTAGGCTTCAGTAGTTAAGCCACTTCCATTTATAATTTGAAAACATATATAATCTAGATTTATTTGAAATATTTTCTGCAGTGCGCGGGGAGAGATTTACTGAGTTTTCATTGTACTAATAAATAAAAAAACAAAATAAAAAGAATAAATCGAATACTTCAGACGACATACCGAGTATTTAATGTTTTGTGTTTAAGCGAATAAACTGACACAATGCAGCTGGTATAACTTGTGGCCAAAGATGTATGCCTATTTATTGTTTTTATTGTCCCGATTGTTGTTGTTGTAGCTGCTTCAGTAACCAACCCCACTCAGGGACAGGTTAATTAATCTAAGCCACCGAGGCCATTTGACGGGAGGTCCAGGAAACATGCTGTTATGACGGGATCGGACGAGTGGGACAGGAGGGGTGTTAGATGTGTCCGTTTTAGGGTGCACGTGAAGAGGTGGTTAGTTTCGTGCGGGGACTCGTTTGCGGGTTCGAGTCTGCATAAATATGAGTTTAACTGGCTACAATATCCAGACCTAAGTTGTGCCAGTGTCACGCGGGTCTCTCCAGGCAGCTCGAGCTGATTTTTTGCAATAGGTGGTGCTTTTTCTCCGAGCCGCCATTCGTCGGAAGGGAGTCTTTGAAAGTGTTGCTTACTCCTGGTGAATGGCGTTCAGTGCTTGTCTGTACGCCGTCCTGTCAAGCGATTGTTGCACGTGTTGCTGGATATTGTCCTTTATATCCAGATCTACCTCTCTATAGTCCCTAGGTGGAGGCTCAGCTTCAATAAGATGCCTGTTGGGCATTGGCCGGTTCAAAATCCGGGTCGTTTCTGTTATAAAAGAGCAGTATTCCAGGTCAACTTACAGTAGGTCCAGGAAACGAGCCGTTCCGACAGGTTCGGACCAAAGGTAAAGAGAAATGAGATGAATTGGCTTTGAGGAGCATGTAGAGATAATTAATGTTGTACGAGAACTCATTACATGTAGACCAAATGTTGCGTATGTCGGGGTTAAGTCTGTAGGAGTTTAATATGGTAGTTTTACTCTCACGATCCGTGTTTTATTCGGCCAAGGTCTATGACTTTTTCGTGACCTAACCCCCTTTAGGCCAGCGGGTAACATTAGTCTATGTGGTTTGGGTGTCTGTCTAAACTGTTAGCTCTCTTAGTCAGACTTAGATACCTAGTATTAGCTAGGTAGGCTAAGCCCTCCCCTCTGCATGCAATCACTTTCTCGATACCAACTAATATCAAAGTCTTGAACTAAAATGTAAGAAACTCACTAGTTAAGAGCCTAATATCACTCCCAACCAGTAAAAAAGACATTAGACTTTCACTTACCATTTTAGCACAACACTACTCTAAGGCTTCAGTAAAGTGCACTGCACGAAATACCGCGAATATTCAGATAACTCAATGCCTCAACCAACACAACTGGACCATGTCGATAGCTTTAAATGTAGTCAATCACTTCGGACTTCTATCGGAGTTGAAATTAGCAAGAGGTTCTGTGCCTCTTGATCTGATATGAGGTTTATTGAACAAGACTCCTGGCTGAATATTCGGTCTATTCTAATATTTCACTTTCGGAAATCGCGGCAACTGTTTTCATTTATAAGCAACGTCCCAACGAACTGATGCGCAGGAATTACTCCCTACCAAATACCGACTCCATTCTGTAATATGTAATAGAGTCAGTTAACATCAATGACTTTCTATGAATGGCCACGTCCGACAATCAATTAAAGAAGATGAATATTCAAGCTGGCCTTTCAGAGTTGAGAAATTCTAGCAACTTGGATACAAATCCGACATACCTAACAGGAAGCATCCTAAAACTTTTCATTTTGACGGCAACGATTAGCATTAGTCCACCTAACCGATGGAAGGGTCATGAGTTCGTATATAGATTTCTTTTTAATGCGGAGGCCCTTTGAGACCAGATTTCAAACCTTCCAAGAGTATTTCGGACATGAAATAGAAATTTCTTTATAAAAATCCTTCAGCTTTTCGGACAAAACCTTTTTTTTTAGCTTCTGGAGTTTTAGACGTAGGGTTTTCAATTAATCAATGCCTTCTACTCGGTTTAGTTCGCCATTTCATAATTACCAAAACTCCTCCGGAACAAAGTTTTCAAATCGTCCAAATTTATTACCAAAATAAAGGTTCGGTTCGCACGACATATCGCTCACTGAGTCCAACATTCGGTCGGCATAATCGCTCAACATATACGAATTTCGCACAAAGTTTACTCCAGTAGATAATGCGCATCCGCAGAGACATCTCACAGTGCGCACGGAAGACGCTATTGTTGCTGTGGAGCATTGTACATATGTAAGATTTGGCAGGGGGATCTTGGTTTTCGGGCTTAAAAAATCCAACTCGTGCATGAACTGAAACCGAAAGAGCATCAAGCGTGTCGCACGTTCGGTGAATGGATCCAAAATGAGATGGCCAACGATCCCGATTTTCATAAGAAAATTTTGTTGGGCGATGAAGCTCATTTTTGGTTGAACGGTTTCGTCAATAAACAAAATTGTCGCGTTTGGAGTGATGTTAATCCAGAAGCGATTGTTGAGACATCATCAAAAAGTCGCTGTTTGGGGCGCTCTATGGGCAGAGGGAGTCATTGATGAATTTTGTTTCAAAAAAAACAAAAAGAAACCAGGCATAATGTTACAGTCAACGGCCAATTCTTTATTATGATTAATGATTTTTCCGTGCCTTTTCCTAGACGCTTCTAACCATAGAGCCAACGGGACAAACAATTTATCGAAGAAAAGTTTTGGTGTGCCTAATATGTCGTGTCGTGGGACCGTGGCGTGGCCTGCGAGACGATTGACGCCTTGAATTCGAATATTGGGCGCTATTGCTGACCGCCCTTATTGGTGTCAAAAGTCGCCGGAAGTTTGGTGCCTCGCCTAAGCTTTGTACGAGCCAGCAACGGCAATCTCTTACCTTATATGTCTAAAAAACACCCTTTATATTTTCTTTCAATTCCTTTTTCGAAATATATGGAGAATCTATAGCACGTGAGAGAGCCCCATGTGACCTCCGGCGAGGAATGGGCAACCTTTTGGCAGGTGCGAGACACCATTGTCACGATTCTTTTGTGACCATTATAATAAATGAAGGTGTGTACCTTCTCTAAGCAGAAATGATAAACTGGAGATGCAAAATGGGCATTCTTCTCGTAGATTTTTAATAAACAGCAAGTCGGCAATTAAGTGCATCAACACAAGTTGCAAATTCATGATTCTTTTTATGTAATTGACGCTTTGTAATCGAGCTCCTCCGATTTTTGGTCTGCATTTTGATGTTTTTTTCAACAAATGAAGGGACCTAGAGGCTACTCGGCCAATGGACTTTTATGAATAGCTTTTATTTTGTGTCAGAAATTCACCCGGAGGCCTAATAAACATTCGCTGTCGAGGGGCGAGGGGAATTAGAAAAATTAATTTTCTATAATTTTAGATGTTGATCGAACCAGGACTCATACCCTGGTCGTCAAAATGGCAAAAGCAGAGGATGTAATTAAAAGGAAACACAGTTAAATTACCTGGGCCCTTGGCCACATGAATGCAGATGGCAAAAGCGGGCTGCCTTAGACGATTCAAAGATGAGATATAATATTCAAAGCAATTCGTAGTGGAACAAGCCGGTTGCTGAATGTACACAGAGGAATACGAAACGCTGGAGCACACAAATTCGCCGAGTGCCGGACTTACAAGCAAATATTGCAAATATGTGCACAGTTCCAGCCTCACCGAGAAGGGGTTACGCATTTATGGTATAAATTAAAACATTTCGCAAAGTTCGTTCAGCTCGGCTAGAACCTCATGAATCTTATTGGCTAAAATAAATTATTTGTATTTTTGTTTTAAGTTCACATGGAGTCATCGCTTTATTTTTGAAACAAGCAAAATGAGGTAAATTTATACATAAATTAGAAGCATAATCACAACATATACACACAAATGTACATTTACTTATAAAAAAATATGGAAATACAATTTTAAAAAGGAAAAATTAAAAAAATATTTGATTAATGTTTTAATCATTAAAGAAATTTTTCTACTTTCTTAAGCTGATTTTGCCGTTAGAAAATGTTTGAACACAAAGCCACAATAAATATTGGACTCCATCACGCATGACATGACATGAAATTACATATTTTTGACTAATTTTCAATTGCAATGTTGTTGTGAGATCTCAAGAATATTTCGTAGCGGATTTTTACGTATTTTAAAAATTATATATTTTTTTTTAATTTTTGCGTTTGCGACACATTGATGGCGCATTCGATGATGCAAATAAACTAGAATTAATTATAGGGTAACTTCGGTTTGGTCGACGAACTCTTCTTGGTCTTAACTCCGAGTTGGAGGAAAGTGTTACCATTTCATTCTTTGATTTTGAGTTTTAAATCATTCACTTTCAACCGAGAGTGATGTTGTGGCGTAAGCGTTTGGTTGATATTAATATTTGCTTTTTATTAATAATAAAATCTTTTTTTAATAATTAACTAATTTGTGAGCATCGCTGCAGTTATTGTATTATCTGCGTGCCATCTTCTTATGACGTATCAAGGTCACAGATATCATAATAATCACTACTATAATCCGAACTATAAGAAGTACATGTAAGAGTTTCCAAAGTATTATCACTGCTCTTACTGTCGCCATAACCATCATCATCATCTTCATCATCAGCACAGCTATTTTCGTCATCAGTGCTTCTAGGGTCGCTATTATCAATGTCGCTCTCATCATCGATACCGCTATATTCACTATCGTCATCACTGCTGCCAACGTGGTCATCATCGAAAACACTACCTTCACTATCACCATCATAATGAGCATCATTAAAGGATCTCTCATCATCACTATCAGCGTCAATGAAAAATTTTCTTCTACTATCGTTAGCGCCAATAATAGAATCTTCATCATCAGCTTCATATTCGTCTGAATTAAAATCATCTTCGCTGTTATCAGTTACGATAGTTTTGATTACGTCGACCACATCGATCGGTTGTTCAGGTTTAGACTCTGTGTCCGTTTGCTTTGATCCGTCGATTATATCGATTGGTTGTTCAGGTTTGGACTCTGCGTGTGTTTGCTTTGAATTCGCATCATAAGAATCATATTCGTCTGAATAAAGATAATCTTCGCTGTTATCAGTTTCGATAGTTTCAATTACGTCGACTACATCGATCGGTTGTTCAGGTTTTGACTCGGCGTCATAAGAATCGTATCCGTCTGAATGAAGATCATTTTCGTTTGATTTTTTTACGTCCACTATATGCGTTTTCTTTGATCTATTGACAACATCGCTGGGTTGATCAGCTTTTTTTCCTGTGTGTGCTTGCGTTGAACTCGCTGTATCTATTGATCCTGCCGCAAGTTTATCATCACTGGTGCGCGGTGTTAAATTCTTAGATTGAGTACGACCCTTTCGTAAGGAGGATAAAAGGAAATCTAAGCGGTCTAAATGTATGCTAACTATATAATTTGGCTCAGTATCATTATTTTTGTGACGTTTTGGCGAATTCCCAATACTTGGGTCTTGGATTCTATTATCCATTTCTAAGCGGTCTAAAGGTGTGCTAACCATATCACTATGCTCAGGCTGCTCAGGCTGTTCAGGATGCTCAGGCTGCTCAGGCAGCTCTGGATGCTCAGTCTGCTCAGGATGCTCAGGCAGCTCTGGATTCTCAGGCTGCTCAGGTTGTTCAGGATGCTCAGGCTGTTCAGGCTGCTCAGGATGTTCAGGCTGCTCAGGATGTTCAGGCTGCTCAGGATGTTCAGGCTGCTCAGGATGTTCAGGCGGCTCAGGCTGCTTAGGCGGCTCAGGCTGCTTATGCTGTTCAGGCCTTTCATTATCGGTTTGTTGGGGAAGTTTCGACGAACTTGCCATATTTATTTTACGATCTAAAGGTATGATAACCATATAAGTTTCCTCAGGCTCTTCGGTTTCGGTTTGTTCGAAATGTTTTGATAAACTTGCCATATTTATGTTATCAATTCCATTGTCCATTGCTAAGCGTTCTATGGGTACGCTAACCACATATACTTGCTCAGATAGCCCGGGTTGAACAGGTAGCTCGGACCACTCAGGTAGCTCGGGTTGCGCAGGTTGATCGGAACGTTCAGGTAGCTCAGGCTGTAGTGGTAGGTCGGTATGTACTGGTGGTTCGGATCGCTCAGGTAGCTCGGGCTGTTCAGGTAGTTCAGGCTGCTCCGGTTGCTCCGGCGGCATGGGTTGCTCCGGTTGTTCAGGTTGCTCGGTGCTCTCATAATCGATTTGTTGGGGGAGTTCCGACGAACTTGCCATATTTATTTTACGATCTAAAGGTATACGAACCATATAACTTTGCTCAGGCTGTTCGGTTTCGATTTGTTGAGAAAGTTGAGACGAACTTGCCATATTTATGTTTTCGATTCTATTATCCATTGCTAAGCAGTCTATGGGTACGCTAACCATATATATTTGCTCAGGCTGCTCAGGTTGCTCAGGTTGCTCAGACTGCTCAGGTTGCTCAGACTGCTCAGGTTGCTTAGACTGCTTAGACTGCTCAGGTTGCTCAGGTTGCTCGGGACTCTCATTATCGATTTGTTGGGGAAGTTCCGACGAACTTGTCATATTTATTTTACGATCTAAAGGTATACGAACCATATAACTTTGCTCAGGCTGTTCGGTTTCGATTTGTTGAGAAAGTTGAGACGAACTTGCCATATTTATGTTTTCGATTCTATTATCCATTGCTAAGCAGTCTATGGGTACGCTAACCATATATAATTGCTCAGGCTGCTCGGGTTGCTCAGACTGCTCGGGTTGCTCAGACTGCTCAGGTTGCTCAGACTGCTCAGGTGGGTCAGTAGCGATTTGTTGGGAAAGTTGTGACGTGCTTGCCACATTTATGTTTTCGATTCCATCATCCTCCTTTGTTTTTTCCACTTCTGATTTAGTTTTTTCTGCTTTCGAATTTGCCATTTCAATATCCTCCATTTCGGTGCTGAATTTTTTGTATTCTACGTCTTTTACATCACCCGACGAGGGTGTATGATTATGAATCTATTTTTACGTTTTTTGATATATAAAATTGTGTAATTTAATACTTAGTTAATCTTTTATTGACTTTCCGCTTCCTGTTTTGTCGGTTTAGAAAATGAAAAAAATAAAATTTATTTACATAATATGATGAATGGTTTAATCGAGTGACTTACGTTTTAAAATTTCGAATTTCGCACCGCTTAGTTGTAAACTCGTGTATAACTTCACTGGATATTATTCTATATCAAACATCTAAAAGTACAAGTATAAGGTCACTATTAATCCATGACATTTCAAATTGGGTTTTAGTTTTTATATAGACGGGACTCAAGTCCCAGGAAAAGCCGATGAATCTACGTTTCCTTTACGGAGCTATTGCGTGGTGACCAGCTATAAAGAAAGCCTAAAATGCTTCAAATTTTTAGATGAGATTCAAAAATTCGCTTGGTGGTATATCAGTCGGCACTTCGTCTAAGAGTGTCAAATCAATGTACCACTCAGCCATGGGGTACTCGAATATATTGGATAAATGCGATTTCATGCTAAGATATACAGATAGATGCGGTCCAATTATGTAAACTGATAACTACTTCAGAACACGATTTCCCAGTAGAAAAGAAAGGGTTGATAATTAACATACTCCAGGTGACAACTTGAAAATATACACCGACGAATCAAAGCTTGAGGAGACAGTTGGCGGAGGTGTCACCTCAGTGAACACTCTGATGAAACTATCTTTCAGGCTACCTGAACATTATAGTGTTTTTCTGGCGGATATTTCTGCCATCATGGAGGCTGCAAGGCATATCAGAGCCAGATTCTTCAATTTCAGCAACGGTTAGACAGCAATAAAAGCACACGGCTCGCTTACACTAAATTCCAAAATAATGATGGACTGTCGTCGATCTCTACAGGAGATGACCAAACAAAACAGATTATCTCTCAAGTGGATCCATCGAGGAAAACTGCAAGACGGTACCACCAAGCAGAATCTCCGCGATAAAGAACACATTGGTTTGTCTGTTACAAACTTCTTCTCAAGGAATTTACATATGAACAAGCTGCGTCAAGGTGAAATGAAGCTACAATCTGCCGCTAAACCAGATACCCTGGTGATCACGTGATATGAACTAATTAAAAAGAGGAGGCATATAAAAAGTAGTAGGAGTTCTGAATGGTCACTGTCCAATGACGGATGACAGACGGAGAGACTAGGGGCTCACTATGGAAGATACTGCTGCAGCTGCAAGGATGATGTTCTGCTTTGAGCAGGTCTCACTTATAAGTATTTTATCAGTCTTAGAGCTCTCGGGGGATTGTGCCCCTTTGGTTTTTTGTCTCGCTTAACTTTCTAAATGCTTGATATTTTTCACGCCGACGCCGCGCATAATGCTTCATTTACTTAATAATTTTGCTTTGAATTTTTTATTTATCCATTAGAGGCAAAATTATTCCGATAGAACTACGTGGTATTGGGTTTAGATGGGTCATACTTTCAAATCAATTAATTGCTACCCCATTTTCTACTTCCATCTATACCCTTTACAACAAAATATAATTTTTAGATTTGGTGCACTCTGTAAAGATATACGATATGTGATGTGATGGATGAGACTAGATCCATCACTTAACTCCAGAACCAAAACAAACGCCTCTGAGAAGACAGCAGCTGGTGAACTTTGTCCAAAACATCCAAAAGCACCACAATCGACTGAAAAGGTTTTGACCTAGGTATTCTCAGATGTACTCGGCGTAATATTCCTCGATTATCTTGATAAGAGAAATACGAACAATAGTGAATATTATACAGCATTCGTGGAGCCTTCGAAGGCCGAAATTGCCAATAGAAAGTCAGTGATACCAAGGACAAAGCTACATTGACGGCATTTCGAGTTCCTCCCACATGCAACGTACTCGACAGATTTGGTTGCAATAAATAAAAAATACTCATCCATAAGAAACTTCGCTCCAATGAAGAATTTATCGCTGATGAATAAAGCCAACATTTGGGATTTCTCTGTTAAGCTTAGGACTTTTATATATACCTATAATTTAATAATAATTTATAATTTAATTTTTTATAATTTTAACCATTGAAGCAATTTTTTTGATCGAGCTTCTGCTCCAATTTGTGGTTTTGCGTCTTGCTATTTTTCCAAGAAATGGAGGGAGCTACAAGCCGCCCCAAACGGCTGATGGGTTTTTGACGAGGAGCCTTTATTTCATGTGCGAAATACACTCGGAGAGGTGGACATTTCCTGCCGAAGGGCGACCGCAATTACAAAATTTATCTCTTTTTTAATTTTTTAGTTAATTTTCCATAACATAACTTTTGGATGTTGGGTGCACCGGAATATGAACCCGATCCGAGGGCTATTATGACTGTGTGTTATTTGTCGAAGTGTCGAATAGATTTCTGGCAACCCCAATTCATAGGGATTTTAATTCATATAATTTATAATATATATTATATAGTTATATACATATATATTATCGATTCAGATCTATCAAGTTGAAATCGCAGCCGAAAAATAAGAAAAATGTGAAGCGAATATATTTCCTCATGTCCCATGCTTTTATTCAGATCATACCGATTCTTGTCAACCTGGCGATGATCCCTTCTCTGTTAGGAAAGTATTACTTGTATTTCGAGTAAATCGAACTTGGTTTCAGAACTCTGGTCAATTTTCAGGAAATAAAAGTATTCCATCATGCAAAGTATTTACTAAAATTAAACATGAGTTTGGCGGTCGTGCTGGTCGAGTGGTTAGTATTGCTTTAGAATAAAAAGAGAATTTCATAAAAAAAAAATTATTTAAAATTCAATTTATTTAAGAAACAGAAAAATTACCATAAATTCATATTCATTTCTATATTCGATTATATTCTAAAGATCTGAATATTTGAGCATACCCAATACGACTGAATTATAGCTTAAATTCAATGCATCTCTTCAAGACGTGCATTACAAACTGGAAGAAGAGCTCGGTCGAAAATCGCCTCGATTTAAGACATTTATTAAGTGATATTTCTAAAAATAATTTTTAAATTTTTTCTTAGACACGCAAATATTTATACGTATATATATTTTATATAATCTACATATAAAATAATATATTTAAGGTCATAGTGACTGCACATAAATTTGATTTAAATTAAATTAAAACAATTTTCTTACCTGCACACACATAACGGTATAAAATTAATCTAAAAATATATGCACGCTAATAAATAATAATTTTTAAGAAATAACCTTATCTGTTTTTACTTTCTTAATTTATTTTTACACTTCTCTAACTGTGTTATGACAGCGCTAGCCAAGCGCTTGTGCGTGTAGAACACTTCTTCAATACGAAATTCTTTAACTTTCATATTCACAACAATTTTTCTCATTATCTGCCTACTGTTGCGCTAATTTCGCTTAATTTCCTTTATGCATAATTTACATAAAATAAATAAATTTGTAGTTGTTTAAAAAACGAACAAACCTTAAACCTAAAACATACGAGGGGATTAACAACAGTTCGGTCAGTAGGTGACACTTAATTTATTTTTGTTAAATCTAAAAATACCAAATCTTTTGCAATTACTTTTTTTTAGACTTCCTGTAAAATTTTAGAACGATCGGCAAAAATGACAACGAGAAAACGCAAGATTGCTGGGGATAGGTCAGACGAAATTCCATCACCAACGCAAACGGAAATTCTTTTCGGGTTTTCCGCGTAATTTACAGCCAGTAAAAATATTATGGAACAACTGCACGTCTTTAAAGATTACTTCTAAGTGGTTCGGAAGATTCCAAACCAAGCATTTTTCCGTAGATGACGAGCCTCGATAGGGTCGACCAAAATCTTCCACTGATGACGTTACTGCAGCACTGGTGAGGTCCAATATCGACGAACACCAACGATTGACATAAGAAATGATTGCTAATGAATTGAGCTTGAGTGCCATGACCGTATATATGAATATTAATTAATCATCTGGGATACCCAAAAAAATCTGCTCGATGGGTACAACGAATTTTAAATGAGGCTCAAAAAGAGGCTCGAATGCATTTTGGTCAATTTTTCCTTAACAAATTCGAAAATGGTCAGTTTAGCAACTTTAGTAAAGTCGTTACTAGTGACGAATCTTGGTTCTATAAATACGGTACAGAAATCAAACGGCAGCCCATGGTATGGAGCCCAACAGGAGCAAACCCAATCGTAAAATCTAAGCAACAAAAATCAGCAGCAAAAGTAATGAAGTGAGTTAACTTCACCCGCTCTAAAATCGAAGTTGCTATACCACTGGAAAAGGCTCAGACGGTAACTGCATAATGGTGCACCGAAGAGTGCGTACCAAAAGTTTTCAGAAATTTGTTGGAAAACTGGAAGAAAGAGGATTTGTGGCGTTAATTTTTACAACATGACAACCCGCCATCTCACATAGCTGAAATAACGAGTAATTTTGTAGCGTACTATGGGATTGAAATACGGTCAGCACCTCGTACCCCGGATATAGCACCTAAAGATTTCCGGTTATTTCCAAAAATGAAAAAAAATTAAAAAGAAAGGTCTTTAATAGCAATGAGGAGATAATTAATGCTGAACTTGATAAGCTTAAAAAGCGAGATTTTGAAGACTATTTTCAGAAGTGGATCTGTAGGCTTAAGAAATGCCTTCAAATGAAAGATGATTATGCAAAGAAGATAAAAAAGGACAAAGATTACGAATGAATATATAAAATATTTTTTTTTTCTGGTCAACTTATCGAACTTTTGTTAATCCCCTCGTATATACATACATATTTGCGGTTACAGCACATAATGCTATAATTTTTGTTTTCCACTTTTTTCGTTTTCGTTTTTATTTCTTAAAAAATGCATAGTTGATTTTATAAACGTTTCCAAATAAATAATATATATATATTTTTTTATTTTATTAATATTTTTGAAACTATAGATGCTTAATTTATTTATAGATAAATATTTATAGATATATAAAACAGCAGCAGTAGCCCACTGGTTAACATTGCGTATCAACATACGGACTACCAGGACTCGATACCAAGTCCAACCAAAATTCAATATTATAAAAATTAATTTTTTCTAATTGCGGCCACCTTACTTACGGTGGAGTATAGAGAGTGCCAATCTAGTTTTAAAAAATATATAATGTTTGCCTGGATGGACGATTGTGAAACTAATATTTTGAGTGACGGCTTCCGATTTTGTCAATTGTCTGGTCAAACCTCAATTTAAAGAAATTGAGTTTCGGCACACGACAGTCAAGCGTCCAAATCCTGGATAAGGCAAAATTTTTTAGTAAAAGCCAGAAATACTCGTATATCATTTATTTGAGCTCAGACTATGGCTTTACGTCAGAACTGAGGTTTAACTAGTAATACGTAGGAGTGCCATAGCTTCGGTGTTTGACTATAACATATATACATAAGTACCAAAATATTGTGTATTTAATTTTTCGAGTCGGATTCTGATACACTTTTTTTCATACAAAAATTTCCAAGTACCAAAGAATTTAGAATCAACTCATAACACCGATTTTGTATTATTTTCGGAGAGCCTAAGAAACAAACATGAAAACAAAAGCTTTTATACCTATGAAGGTGGATAAATTGAACTCTTCCCAAGTCTTAGTTGTATTAAGATGGATAAATTGGAATCTCATCTATATTGTACATTAACACACCTTGTAAAGGATAGGTAAGCATAGTAATATTAGGCAGGTATCGTGAGCTTGATATAGGTGAAATTTGCAAAACCAGATTTATTTTCTAAAACTAGACATTATTTTTATATTTGAAGAAATCTTACGCTTAAAAGATCTCTTGTTTCATTACTTGTGTGGCGCCATCTATTCACCGGAACTGTTGCTCTAGCCTAATTTAAAAAAAAAATAAGGTCCAACGACCACGCCGGACCATAAGCCGTACCAAACAGTTACACGTTGAGGAGGATGGAAAGGCTTTTCATCAATAAATCTTGGATTTTCCGAGCAACAGATGCGAGAGTTTTGCTTAATGACGCTGGGATAGAGTTGGAGATGTACCTCATTAGTCAAGATGATATTTCGTTGAAATTTTTATAGCGAATTTTAATAAATTCAATGCGCAGTTAAAGCGTTTATCGTTCCATTTTTGTTACTGGCGTAGTTTTTACTTGTCAAATGTCAAAAAGTTACAGCTTCAAAAGTGACATCTACCGGAATAATATCTTTTACTGTAAAGCCCTTTATATAGCTAATCAACACTTACTGATAATTGCTGAGCTGATCGAATATGTTAAAATCGTGTATCGATTTTAGCTTCAATAAGATTCTTGCAAAAATTCCAAACGAATCCGCCGATGAAAAATTATAGTATACTTGAAGAAATATTAGAAAATAGAAGTGATTTGCTTGATTTATACATACATATGTACATATATACAAGAAAATAACAAAATTAATTTGTGCGTGCGACTAGAATTTTCTTAAATCGAATAAGCAAAGAAATAAACAAAAATAACACTACTTTTAAGTATACACAAATTTCCGTGAAGATCAACACAAAATCGTTCAATGGGCAAATTAAAATCGAAAGTGATTAAAAATATAAAATTTTTGAGTACATGGTTTGGCAATTATCCTACAAAATTTAGCATTATAAGGAAATATTTTAACTGTGATTTCTGCGCTGATGCAAGTAAATAATATATATATGTTATATGTTATATATATATGTACATAAGCATAACATAATTAAACAATAAATAAAACTGGAAAAATGCATTTAGCCAACGGGACAAAATCATTTGGACAAAATCGAGTATCAGGCATTTGCTATTATTCCCATCCTTTCATGTTTTCATTAGAAAATATTTTTAATATTAAAAGCCCGAAAATTTTTGGCAAATGCAATGCTAACATCACATCACAACTGCGATCTCATGTTGATTCGAACACTAAATACGCGGCGACTGAAACGATACCAAAAGCGCAGGCGCCTAAGTTTGTTCCATACCAGCCGTTGCAGGCAACTATTCAGAAAATATGGCCGCACAACCTGAAAGTAAATCGGAATTTGACAAAACCAATGACTACTCGGACTTTCTCACCATACCAACAGCCTCAGTTTCTAGCGCGCAACACCTCAAATCCAAGAAAGTCAACCTCAAAGAGTTGGAAAACTTATGAACCCACATTGCGTGAGTTTGTTCCTTCACAACCGTTATTAGTAATGCCTCAAATAGCTATGCCATACCGCCCGTATATGGTAACTATGCTTCCGCTACAACCTTTACAGAAATTGACTGAGGAGACACCACCTAGTGGTCCATTTATGCCAGAAACTTTGACGGAAAATTGGTCGATCCCAGTTCATGCAGCAACAGAAAGTCAGAAAAATAATCAACATTATTATGGTAATATCACATCGCAATTAGTGCCACCTGTTTCAGTTACTCACAGCACTCCGAAGAGCGAGTTTGTTACACCAACTTTACAGACAACGTTCCTGGAAACACCATCATGTAGTCGGAGAAGGACCGGGAATTTGCTGAAACAAGCCAATAGTCAGGCGATGAATCAACAGCCGAAAAGTTGTGAAAATTATGGAAATTTCTATTATACTGTTACTTTCCCACCCTTTTCACCTTATTTATTTACACAACCCTTGCAGAAGATGTTGGAGGAGGAAGATAAAACGTCTCCGTTGCCGGCAACAACTCAGGTAGTAACGCCATATCGACCGATGATGGCAGCTGCACAGACTCCACTAATCCAGCCTGTTCTACAGACAACACCACCATGTAGTCCAAATATGACGGAAACTTTGCTGAAACGAAAAGCTGCTCAGTTGGCTTCAGCGCACCAACAATCCCGTACAGTTACTTACCCCCAACTGAAGATAATGAAACTGGATGTTGAGACATCTGATGATGTGACTCGCAGAGCAAAACCATATCGCCCGCTTATGGTAGCTCAAAGGTCCGCGCAGACTCAACAATCTAGGTTTGCTGGAAAAACTTTACCGACAACGACTCAGGAAAAATTGCCCTCTAGTTCGCATATGACAAATCATTTACTGATATCGCAAACTGCTGGAGGAACTTTTTCCCAAAATTCGAGTTCCCAATTTTCAGTGGCAAAGTCGTCAATTGAAACAAATTTAAACCAAATAAGTAGAAAGAATTATAGACAATACCAAGCTAATATCACCACTCAATCACTTTCACCATATTCATTTACACAAACTTCTCAGGTTTTGGAGCAGAGTACCGAGATGTCTCGGTTTACTTCATTACAATCTGGCCGGCAATGACTTAGCGAGCAACGCCATATCGCCCGTATATGGCAGCCGAATTAATTCCAAAAGCTCATTTTATACAGTCTGCACCCACAATGGGTCAGGAAACACCGCCATGTAGTCCGAATAAATCAGGAAAATATTTGAAACAAGAAAATAATCAGATGTCGCCACAAAACCAACAGGCCCACTTCCCGTTGCAAAAGGCGAGGTTACCAACAAATTCCACCGTGATAAATTGGGAAAAGTACAGGCAATACTATGATAATATCACCACTCAAACATTTTCGCCATGTTCATTTACACAACCTTCTCAGAAGATTTTGGAGCAGAGAACCAACATGTCTCAGTTTACTTTATTAAAACCCTGGCCGGAAATGACTCAGCGGACAACACCTTGTCGCCCGGTTATGGCAGCCCAGCTGACACTGTCCATACCGACAATGGTTCAGAAAACATCGAAATGTAGTCCGAGTATGCCAGAAAAAGTTGTCGTAAAACAAACAGTCTCTCTCGGTTAATTATTCTCCTGCCAAGATTATGAAACTGGAAGCTGAGTCAAAATGGGCTGTGACTCACATAGCAAAGTCATACCGCCCGAATATGTCAGCTCTAAGGTCTAAGCAAGCTCAGTAATATGTTGCAAAATTAAGGAACACAACTTCACCCGGGTTAAATATGATTGGTCATTTAATGAAGCCGAAAACTGCGGGCGTCCCAACAAACCCTAGGCTTTTTTATAGCAGTTAGCGATAGGGAGAGAGCAGAATTCTCGTTCCACACAAATAAACCAATTCTGATTACTTAGAAGTCCTTGTAGGTAACGCCATAACGCCCGAATATGGCAGCCAGCCCAAATATGCATTGCATAGAACGAGACAAGAGCTCAGACATAGTCACAGAACTGCCTTACTTAAATTGAGAAGTCATCTTTTCCAAAAAAAAAATTCCATCGCCATATAGCCCGAATATGGAAGCCCAGATCTCACCCATAATATTGCAGGAAACAACCTGAGGAACGGCGCCTTATCATCCAAAGAATGGTAGAAAATTTTTCAGAACCTACAACTGCTCGGTAGCTTTCCAAGGCAACCGTACTGCTTGACATCGTCAAGCATGCAATTACTTAAGACGAACTGTCATATTGCCTGAATATGGTAGAAAATTTGTCGCAAGAGCCGTAAACGTCTTTCTAAAAACAGAGATATTAATGCAGATAAGGATTTGGCCTTATGTTTTAAAAAAGATTTCGGGTAAGTGACCGTCGCGGAATAAATCTCGAATAAATCTCAGCAGAAAGGCTCAATATTCGGCGGATGGCGCCGAATACTCTCTACCAAATCGACTTATCTATATAGACTAGACACTTCACATAACTCTGCAAAAAATAGTCCAGCGGTGGTACTCGGGGCGGCTAATAATCTAGCGAAATAAGGTAGTTAGAGCTTACACATCAACTTGTTACTGATAATACTAATTATGGGACTCATTATTAATATAAATAACAAAACTATTTTTTTTTAGGTTTATTAACATTTCATTCTCGCAATTCGGAGCACCGCGCTGTGTTTAAATTCCTTATAAAAAAGGACGCCGAAAGAAATATGTAAAGAGATGTCATCGGTTATTTAAGACTCTGCCCTTTCATATACGATGGTGAAAAAATGGGCTCGACAGTTTCAACAAAGAAGACAGACCTGTAAAGATAAACCTCGCATGGGGCGCCCTGAAAAGCTTCGTCCGCGTAACTCCTGTAAAGGAAAAAGCCACTGGTTCATGCAAAATCTTTCTATCACCTTCATTGCTAATCTGTGATACTTCTGCTATCTGCCAACATTTAATTCTTCAATCAGCCAGTGCCAATTTTTCGACATTCTAAATATTTCTTTCGTTCACGACCATCACTGGGCGCCCCATGCGAGGTTTATCTTTACAGGTCTCTCTTCTTCAGATGAAGGAAAGCGGCCATAGATAACCATTCTGAAGAAAAATCTAAAGAATATTTTTACAGTGTTATAAAGGCATTGTATTCGCGATGTGAAAAGTGTATTTCACTTGAGGGAGGCTATTTTGAAAAATAAAAACGTAAAATTACATATATATTTGTTTCATTAAGTACTTTGGGCCGCAAACTTTTTAGCCATACCTCGGAAGTCGACGATCTTGGAAGCAATACCACGGTGCCTCTACTCGAAATAATGCGCTCACTAAAAGTTTCCTGCAATAAATTTCTTTGGATGTAAGACAAGTACCACTGTTTTGTTCAAACCAAGGATCGTGCGAAATGAATTGTTGTTAGGCAATAAGTATCCACGATATGCAAAATAAGTATGTTGATTTTGAAATGGCAAAACAAACTAAGTATAAATAAAAAGTTTTCCTAATTGAAAACCACTTATCTAAAAAAAAGCACCCTTTATTAACTTCCATTATACTTTCATACTTTTAATCGACCCCAACTTTTTCCTGGAGGAGGTGTAGTTTGTTCAGTTTCATAATGAATTTCCTAATGTTGTTTTAAGATTAATGTGGTAATCCGTTCTGTCTGCTAACTGCAAGAGTAGAGTTCAAAATAAAAAAAAATTAGAACAAGAAGAAAAACCTTTATACCTTACAAGCATATATCAAATTTATTGTCTTGGAAGTTCTTTTCTACGATTTGAATCATAATATTATAATTAAAAGATTGGTTGTAGGGGGCTATATTATATGCTCGACATTCAGATCAATCGGTATAGATTTTAACTTGCCGACCTCTTCATTGTAATCACAAGGCCTCAAAGTTAGCTAAAAGAGATAGGTTCATTTGTATGAGAACCGACCATTATTTGTGTCCACGGACATATGTAAAAGCATCCCAGCAAGATAAAGAATAAACTCTCTCGGGAAATACCAGCAGCGTCAATAGCAGATGGCTGGATGATACCAAATGGAAGATTTGGCCATTATTCGTTGCAAAAAGAACTAAGTCTCTATTTCTTCTTAAGAGCAACTCAACGAGCAAACGAACCGGTGAGATACCATTTGATGAGGGCTCATGGTAGAAGGATCGGTTACTTTTGTAATGACTTCCATCGCGGCTGCAGATACACAGGCGAGGAGGATTCGATAGAATACTATCTCTGTCACTATCCCGCCCCAGGTAATTTCTACTTTGACTAGCTTGCAGATATTGCCTTAGCAAGCTTTAATAATCTTGTGTGTTTTGTGAAACAAATCATTTGGCTTCAGCATCTATGCCTTTCATAGACTCCACAATCCAGGCCCTAGAGGAGGTTTAGCTACCCGTTACAGCAACAAAACCAACATGGATTATATTGGGACTACATTAATTGATTTTTTGCGAACGCTTTAATCAGTATTCCTGAAAAGTCTACATAAAGAATAATCCTTTTACATTTTTCTCCTTGAAAAAGAGTTTCATTGTCGAAATGAAGCGTACTGCAGTACATTTAGTGACAGACAATGCTGGATATATTATTAATTAAGAGTAAATGTTTGTTAGAGCTTCTTGTCCAGTTTTTGTACAGTCTTCTGGCTCTATATCTTTTCACATTTATGCCTAAGTCTTTTATAATTTGTAAAACTAATTTAGTATGCTAAGTAGCACCTCCTGTGCCTGGATGAGTGTAGAACCTTACCAAAGATGATGCGAGTTCGAATATTGCTAGGGGTTAGAACACTAGAAGTTCTGGTACCGAATGCCAAGCCGAATAAATGAATATTTTATACTTGTGTTGTGAGATGTTTGTTGACCCGTTCGATTGGTTTAGTCCACAATTTCATTGAACTCCATGATTTAATTTAGGTAACCAAGTTTTCAGTTCGAAATTCCGTTTTTGGCATCGTTATTCTTATTACTGAAAAGGGAAGGAGAATTTTTAATAAAAATCCATAAATTGTGGTATGCATTCTGACGTTTTTCCAACAAATGTAAGAGCCTATAGGCCCACTACGCTGCCTCAGAACGGCTGATGGTTTTTTATGAGGAGCTATCATGTCATAAATACACTCGATGGGGTTGACGTTGCCTGCCGAGGGGCGACCGCAATCAACTTAAATTTTTATTTAAATTAATTTTCGATAATTTTAGGACGTTGGTCGAACAGACCGGTCTTACGATGTGGAAACGTCCATGTATATATACAATATGGTCACCTCTTGGTCCAAATACTTCACTAGGCTTTGCTAGAAATGTTTAAAAAGGTGGATAAATAAATAATGATGCTTCTATTTTCTTGTTCGAGCGGAAGTATTCGGGTAGTTGTATAATTCATTTCCTTTATTAATAAGATTAACGATTAAAAAGCACTCGATTGTAATTATATAGGGGAAAATTGGGAGATACCAAATTTGTTGACATTTTTCCACTCCAATATGTGGTGTGCCTTTTAATGTTTTTTCAACAAATTAAGAAATCTAAAGATTTTTTTAAGTCTCCTCCGAATGACCGATGGTTTCTTGTGAGAGGCTTCTATTTCAAGTAAAAAATAAAGTTTTCACATATCCTTCTGAGGAGTGACTGAGGGGGCAAGAAAGATGAGCTGTCCTCGGTCATGCCGCAGGTTTTATTCCTTTTATGATCACATCAAATTTCTATCGATCGATGATTCTCTGTGTTTGTGTTAACTTGAATATACCTGTGTAAAATACCAAATCTCACGATTGAAGATTCTTTTTTGGCCAACTTTTTACCAAAAATATAGTATTTTAACAAATCGGTTGTATGGTCTGTATATATACCTAGTTCTCTGATTTCTGATGATTTTGACTTGTATACACGTGTGTAGAATACCAAATCTCACGCTGGTAGGTTGGCGGATTTTTTTTACTCAAAACCTCATTTCTGTGCAAATCGGTGTATGGAATCTATATGTCGTCCGATTTTAGTGTCAAAGTGTATTTCAACACTTATGCAGAAAACCAAATTCCACGCTCTCAGATGCTTTTTTCAAAAATTTATTTCACAAAATCTCAAGTCTCAAAATCGGTCCGACAAATGATAATTTAAATATAAATGTATCAAGTTTATTTAAAATAACTCAAAGACTGAGATACTAGTTTTCGTACGTGCAGACGGACAAATGGATATGGCTAAACCAATTTAACTCGTCATTTTGAACCGTTGGGTATACAAATTGATGGGCCTCTCTCTTTTCCTTCTGGCACTTAAATAATTCGGATTGAAGTTAATATACCATCTCATGTACATGAAAGGTATAAACATTCATTTTCTTTACTTCTTTTTGGAGGTTTTGTTCAAATTGGACTCGAACTGGGCTTCCGAAAGACAGTACGCAGTGCTAATGACTAGGCTATTTGCGGACGATATACCTTATTTAAAATATTAACATTTAGTGATCTCAAGAACTTTCTACCCAAAAACTAAAAAAAATACTGTTATTTTCTTATGCTTGCAATAGCTGCGCCAATTTATGTCACAGAAATAAGAAACACTTTCTTCGCTTCGAAAAATTTGGACCTCGTTATTTATGTTTGTTAAAAGAAGTGTAGAAAAAATGTAAGGTAAGTCTTTTTTTTGGCAAAGAGAAAATTGAAAAAGAATAGTGATTTTACAGAAATAAAATTAGAAATAATAAATCTAATTATAGTCGCCATTAGAGTGCTAAAAATCAATAAAACATATTTGTAAATATTAAAATTTTCTTATAATTCTGATGTTCAAATTAAAAAAGTTTGAAGAATAATTTTAGACAAGAAGTAGTTTGCATAATTAATAGACAAAGCTCTTGAAAGCTCATTTCATTTTGTAGATGATAAAAGAGGAGCTTCCATTGCAGCAGGGGTAAGACTTTAGTAATACATATTCTTTCAGCTTGTCTGTGTCTTAAAGATGACAACATACCCTTAGCAAGCTGGAACCTTCTTTTCCTTATACATATTTGCAACTTTTGTTGTGACGCCTGGTATTAGAACTTAATTTTTGAGTACATAAATAGTACGTAAGGTGTTGGTTTGCTGGATAGCTAGAATTTCATAATATTTCTTTACGTTAATTTCAATCTAAAGTGGATAGTCGTATTAACAATGAGAGCACGCTTTGTGGTCTTCAAATTGAATTAAAGATCCACTGATCATATCTTACACAGAGGCGGTGGACCTCTTCACCGAAACTGATATACTAATTTTTGTTGTAAGTGTTGGATATGGCAAAATCTTATTAATAAACATTTTAGCTAGCTATGTTTTTTTGTGCTGTTCTTCTGCTTTTGATCTATTGGAGGGTTGTTGAAGATACTCGAAATATTCTCCGTTTGACCAATACTTGACTTCCACTCTCAAGTACAGCGTGTTCATTAGTGATACTTGATTTTCTTTGTCGGTTCATGATTGATCTAAAATTGTATCAAGTTCTTTATAGTAAAAGTATTTGATACCTTCGATGGAGATGACGCCCAGCAATGAGTATTGATTTTCATTAGCTCCGAATGTTTTCTGGAATGCACGAGTATATTTGGTTACAAAAATTAATTGTTATTGGACTTGCTTCTACCGTTTCTTTGTTTATTGTCTTTTCTTGACATTCGATGCTTTATGTTATGAGAATATTATTATGGGAAAAATACTGCTGTACAATTTATATGCTTGGAATTAACAGTTTCCATGGAAACAGGTGATTTAAAGAAGCGCAACTTTAATACTTCGAAAATTAGTCCAGCAAATTCCTTTGAAGTACCAACACCAAGGAAAGCAAAAGTTTCAAGTTTTTTAAATTGAAATTGTACAAAATTATTTCGAAGAATTAAAAGATAAAAATAATTAACACAAACTATTAATGTCAATACAATGCCGCTATCTGCGCTTGAATTATTTATGGCGAACGGACCATCGGGTGTAGGCATTGTCGCTTTCTGCTTGGCGTGCTCGTTACATTGAATTGTTCAGCAAAAAGTGCGTAATCTACGAGAAAGGGTGTAACAGATCATTCAGCGTAAAATTCTATGACAAATAGTGACCGTGGCTCACTAAGGGTTTGGGTATGAAATTTCCCTACGGCCAGTCTGGTACGGCATCTATCTCACGTGTACGCCTAACGTGGCCAAATTTCTTGTGTATATATGCGTTGTTATCGCTGGTGCGTGGCATAGACAAATCCATTTTCGTTTTTGGTGTTTAAGAATTTTCAACTTTTTTAATTATATACATATGTGTGTGTATATATATAGGTGTATATATACATATGTGTATATATATAATAAAAAAAATTGAAAATTCATAAAAACCAGAAACGAAAAATGGATTTGTCTATGCAACGCACCAGCGATAAAAACGCTTATGTACACGAGAAAATTGGGTAAGTCAGGCGTACACCTGAAGTGGATGCCATACCATATGGTCAGCAGGGAAATTTTGTATCAAAACCCTTAGTAAGCCCCAGTCACTATTTGCCATACACTTTTATAGCTTACGCTGAACGATCTGTGGGAACCTTTCTCGCATATTACGCAATTTTTGCTGGACAATTCAATGCAACGAGCAAGCCAAGTAGAAAGCGACAATGCCTACACCCCGATGTTCCGTTAGCCATAACTGATTCAAGCGCATATAGCGGTATTGCAGTGACATTAAATAGTTCATCAACAGCAGCAGCAACAGCAGCAGCTACAGCAACAGCAACAGCAGCCGCAGCGAATGCCACAGCAAAAGGAGAGTTACTTCACTATCAATTTAAGCGCCAACTGCACCCAGTTTCAAAACTTTCTCAGGCGCCGTTGGAACAGTCGTACATTGCTGAGTTACCGCTGGTTGGTGATGGTGCTGCTGGTGGGCTATTAGCAGAGAATATTTTCCAAACGCCTGTGAAGCCTAAGTATGGCTATCAAAATCGTAGATCCCTCAGGAGCCCGACGACAACCAACCACTTGCGTGCTATCGCCCGTGATAATAGCGACATTACGTGTCACCTGCTTGTTGGAGCAGTTGGAAAGGCTTAGTTTACTGGGGGAAGATAATGATGATGATGATGATAAAGTTTCGAAATGAATGTGGTCAATGTTGAGTGTGAGACTCGTATGGTGAATGTTGCTGCGGATGATTAAGGAAGGACTAAATAAAGAGGGGTAAAGGGTAGGGCAGGAGTTTGTAAAATATTTAACTTCATAGCAGAGTTCTTATTTATTAATGTCTATTGTACATATTTATTTATCAAATTCCGCTAGTTCTAAGCCAATTGTATTTATTGCTTAAAAATTAAAATTGTACAGCATGAGTACTGTATGTTGTTGTAAATTTTATAAGGTTATTGTGGAATTATCAATTGTACAAACATTTTTTGTAAATAAAAAGAGGCAAGTACCCGCCCTAAAATAAAAGTAGTAGACGTAGTATCTGTGACTGTAGAGTGCTAGGAAGGGATAGAAAGGCTGCAGGACTTTCAAACAGCAATGGGCAAGGAACCAAAAAAAAACATTACCTAAAATTTGTGAAAAGAACAGCAATGTTCTTCATGCTAAGGACATAATAAAGAATGTAGCAGATCAGCCTGATTGGGCAACACTATGAACTTAATGTAGTCTATTTGATACACCATGGATCAGCAGGTTCAACCTAATCTGACCAAACATGAAATTTGACTGATATTTCTTCTTTATTTTCTTTCGCTTCCTTATCCAGCAGAACTCCAATAGTTTCAGCTTTAAGTAAGGAGTTTGAGATTCCGTCCTGCAATTTTCACATACCGTGTTACTGCTGAGTGCTATCAGGGAACAGGAGTGCAGTTCAAACGACAATCGTCCACCTGTCTGTTGTGATTACAGTCTTTAAGGTCGAACCTTTGTTGTGTTTGTTACATAGTCGATGTTGGGCCCTCGGAGTGAACGCACGCCGAAAACTCTCGACACATCTCTCCCGGCTATCACAGCATGATCGCTCTGGTTTTGAGCTTTTCGATCAGGGCACAGCCAAGTAAATTGATGAATTTTCTTGTGCTGGAATCTTGTATTACAGACAACCATATTTCGGGCCACCGTGAAGTCGATCAACCTCAACACATTTGGAGATGTTTCGTTGTGAAGACTGACTTTTCTGACCACTGTTCCGAAGATACCTTCTTAAACTACCCTGGCTATTAAATCACGTAGCACGATTTTCGCATCGAGGTGGAGGCAGCGCTCATGAGTACGCTCCAGGCGTTCATAAAAGGCATTATTAGTCGCATCATCTTTCTCTTGCATCTGGGCCGTGGGCGCAAAATGGAATTGTGTAGAAATATTTCGTTGTAATGTGGATTGTGGCGAGACGTTCATTGACCGGAGTGAATTCCAGTACTAGGCGACAGAGTCTCTCTCCCACCACGAATCTGACACCAAATTTGTGATCCTTTATAGGAAATGTCACAATGCTCTACTCGTTTCCGTCCTTCTCACGTCGATCACACTTCTTGGACGGCGGTAATATCTGCCTTTATTCTTACGAGGACATCAACCAGCCAGACAACGACACTTTCTCAATTATGGGACCGAAAATTCCAGGTGCATGTCCTCAAATCGAGTTCCTTAAAACATTTGCATACATATCTCATTGGGATATCTCATCCAAGGCGTTATACATTTTTTAATTGGAGCTAGTTTCCATGTGCTGGGTCTCAAGTGTACAACCTCGCTGGGCGAGTAAGTTTTAATTTTTTACACATTTATATAGCGAGCCGCATGCTTCAAGACCGACGTCCGCTCGCAGCCCACGACCCGTAAACAGAATAAGTTGGCGTGGCTGCACAGAAGATGCCTCTCTTTTAGCTAGAGCCAACAGATACGGCGAGTGAATCATCGAGAGATGATTCATGATTTTTTATGGCCGGATACGGATGGTATAGATCTGGACAACGTTTATTTTTAAAAAGACGGCGCTACGTGTCACACAAGTAATGAAACCATTTATCTTTCAAAGGTAAAAGTTCCTTACCATGTCATCTCTCGAAAAGGTTATTGCAATTGGCCATCGAGATCTTCTGATTTAATACCTTACAGTTTCTTTCTTTAGGGCCACGTGGAAGATAAGGTCTACGCCAACGAGCCAACGTCGATTCAAGACTTTAAAGATGGAATATTTAAAGATATTGAGCGCTTACAGCAGGCACTTTGAGATTTGGTGATGGTAAAAAAGATACGGTACTTTAAGACTTATGGTCTTGTAAGTGTTAGCCTCCCCAATGCCTTTTTACCGCTGAAAAAAATATTCTTTATATTTCACTTTATGATGGTTTTTTAACCTTTTTTTAAATTTGCATCCCACGCAACCCGAGCGGCGTGAACAGGTGCGTTGTCTTGAAGAAACAGCACTCCGCGCGCTATCTTGCCACGTATCTGCTGTACGACTACCTCACGCGCCTTGCCCAACAAATGTGGCTAAATACTGGCCGTACATTGCAGTTCCATTTGGCAAGTAATCAACTAATAATAATCCTTCACCATCTCAGGAAATGGAAGCCGTAATCTTCGACGACGACTTTTCCACTTTGAATTTTTTGGTGGCCTTTTTCTCTTTTTTGATCCACTGCATCGACTCCAGCTTGGACTCGGTATCATACAAAAGAATCCAAGATACATCATCTGTTACAATACGGTTGCAAATTTCAACCAAATCATCTCCAAAAAATCTTTACAACGTTCCAATCGTCGCTATTTATCGAGCGGCGTGAGCATTCGGAATATTCAACGAGCGGTAATTTTTTTCCTACTCAAGTACTTATGAAAAATCTCTACCACTTATTCATTGCTAATCTGTAATCCTTCTGCTATCTGCCACAATTTAATTCATCCATCAGCCAGGACTAATTTTACGACTTTCTGAACACTTTCTTCGATCACGAATGCCACTGAGCGCGCCGAGCGGGGGTCATCTTCACAGGTCTCTCTTCATTGTTCAAACGTAAGAGGCCATTTTTTCACTAGCGCATATGAAGAGTCAGAGTCCTGAAGAACCGATAACATCATTTAAACTTTTCTTTAGGCGTAATTTCTTTTCTTACTAGGAATATTAATCAAGTTTCCGTTGATCTTGTGTTGTTGTTTGTTCAGGGAACGATATGTTAATAAACCTAAAAACAAAATTTTTATTTATACTAATAATGAAAACCATAATTATTATTATCAGTAACGAGATCATGTGCCATTCCAAATTACCTTTGTGTTGTTGTTTGTTCAGGGAACGATATGTTGATAAACCAAAAAAGAAAAAATTGTTTTATGTATACTAATAATGAAAACCGTAATTAATATTAACAGTAACGAGATCATGTGCCATTCCTAATTACCTTTATCAGCCGCTCCTCGTATCGTCCTCCTTACATTGAAATAAACATCCCATTATTTAACTCAAAAAATGCAATTCTTTTGAATATGAAAATATCATTTCTTATTGGAATATCTTGTATTTGTTTTTCTTAATTATATACTATGGATATTTGATTGAATTTAATTAACATATTTATTGTTATAAGTACTAAAATGAATTACATTGAATTAATGAAGTGAAGTAAAAGACATTTTTACACACAAATAGATCACATTAATCTAGCTAAAATCTTTTGGGAACATAATCAGAATTAGTTGGACATTTAAGCATAATATCAATATTTTTTGTAATGATGTAGTCGCAGGTAAAATTTCGTTTAAATATTAAAATTTTTTGGTACGTAATAAAAGTCATTGAAACAAATTACAGCCATATTTTTTTTACAATTACTTAAAAAATTGATCTAAGCTCACAACCAAAACGTAGATAAATAAATATTATACACACATAAATAAACGAAGGATATTATATTAAAACAATGTGTGTGTGTGTGTGTGTGTGTGTGTGTGTGTGTGCTTTTGAGTGAATATTAATTTGCCTGAGTGCTAGTTTTGGTTTTTGGTTGGCGAACATTCCACTCGTCCTTGCTGCCATTGATCTATTGTGAGGAGTGGAACATTTCCCGGTTTTGTAGCTAATATAATACTTCGAATAAGAGGTGAGCGGTTCATGCCGTAGAACAAGGTACACCACGTACGTTCCCGCTTATTAGGAAATAGTAAATTACAACCCATGCCATTAGTTGGTATCAACGGTGGCGGAGATCCTGTAGATTGATTTTCAGGCTGTTGTGTAGTTTGCTTTTTAGGCCGTTTTGTAGATTGTTTTGTAGATTCTTGTGTTGATTGTTTTGTAGAATTTCTTGTAGATTGTCTGGCCGAGCGTCTCCTTTGCGGCTCTGCCAAGGGGCTGGTATTGTTATTATTTGCCTTTTTGGAGCATCGAGGTGGTGAGTGTTGGCCATGTATGGTCTCTGTGCGAACTACTGCGGCCGAGTTTTGAGCCAATGGTGAACTTTCTGCTGATTGAATAGGTCGCTTAGACGTGTGCGGTGTTGGTGATTTTGCTTCCCTATTAGGGATTATTTGAATATTTTCCTGAGGATATTCATTCTCGATATCTGAATCGGTGGAATCAGTTTTGGTAATTGGTATTCCAGCTAAATCACTTGGCTGCACTGATATTTGTTGGAATTGTGGCTGAGGTAATGATACAGCATTGCTTGCCTCAACAGTTATGGAGCTCTGTGATGATGATGGAGGAGTTGAGTGTAGCCCATTTGTGTTGTCTGATGTGTCTGATTCAGATGATTCAATATCTGTCCAGGAATTTTCATCCTGTTCTGTCGGAACTGTATCAGAAAATGTCTTTGTATCTGTTATACTTAGTTGATTTGATGCTTGAGATAGAGAGTTGCTATCATACCCTGCATCAGGAGTTAGAGCCGATGTGGACGCAGATTTGTCTAATGGTGAGGACACCGCTGATTCGGGCAATTGAAAATTTAACCGGATTTCTTCATCTTCATCTTCGACATCCATTTTTTCGGACAGATTGGACTCAAAAATTGGTTTTGCAGCTGGTACACGTTGCTCTGAAGCTTGGTTCGTAGTCAGCTGTGGTAAGGAGTTGGTATCATATCCTTGAGTAGGCATAGAGATTTGGGATGATATTGTCTGAGCAACTGGATGTGTAGCTGGTGCATTTAACTGGTTTGGACCTTGGTTCATATGTAACTGAGCTAAGAAGTTGGTATCACGCCCTCCACCAGTCGGGAAGTTTTGGATTATTGGTGGCGCGGTAGAATGTTGACCATTTGTGGCAAGTGAAGATTGTGAGGCACATGTTTGCGGTCGTGTGATAGAGTTGGAGTTGACTTGTGGTGCACTGGTTAAATGATGTCCATACGCGGCATGTGAAGTTTGTGTAAGAACCGAAGTGGCCGTCGTCCGTTGATGTAAAGGTGAGCCTACGGCTGATTGCGAACTTGTTTGCGGCTGTGCGTCAGTGCGGTTTTGATATCTTTCAGTAGTTGTGAAACTTTGCGACGGTGTTGGAGTAGGGACGTATTGTCTAGCTGTTGCAGACGTTGACATACCAACCGTTACGCAAGGCTGCATGTACTGTGATGGTGTTGGTTGTGCTTGGTTAACAGAAATTTCAAAAAGTTGCTGAAAACCTAACGGATTTATATTCATGCTGTTCTGGTTCTGCGGCTGAGCTGATCCCGAAGTTGTTGGGGATATATTCGGTTGTGACTGTGCTGAAGAGTTTGTAGCGAATCTTTCGTCAGATCTATTGTTTTCAGGTACAGCCGTAGTATTGAAGGGTTTTGTGGCTTCCGAAGTTTGTACGGGAACCGAAGCGGCCTCCAGTGGTGAACTCATGAGTGATGCAAGCTTTTTCTTTGGAATATATGGCAGCGGTAAAGAATTGGTGTATCCGCTATGAGTTGTTGCCCGTTGAGATGGTAGTGGACTGATAAGATGTTGCCTTTCGGTAACCAATGAAAAGGGCACCGATGATGCCGAGGCTGCTGACGTTGACGCCGTTTCGTCTGATGCTTTGCTGGTTGGCTGAGAAATGTGCGCTGGAGGTGGTTCTGGTGTATTGATGGTATTTTGATTATTTTCTTTCGATGCAAATTTGTTTTCGCTGTTTCCATTTTCTACCGTTGCTTGCTGTGTGGGTGCTCTTTGTTGAGACCCTGATGGCTCTATTATCAATTCATTTTGATCATGTTGTTGTTGTTGTTGTTCATTTACGTGGGGCTCCTCAGGTGGTGGAGCGGGTGCAGCTGGCACGTTTTCTTTATCAACCCATGGACGAAAAAAGGGATCTGACATTTTCTTCTACAAATTTTAGTTCTTTTCTCACACGACACGTCTTAATGAGCTAGTCTACGTACATATCGACGTTTTTTATTGGCTTCTTTATTTTCTTTTTGTTTTATGGGAATAATACCGTAATAAATGAATTGGAATATTGAATTCCCACTTCCAACAAGTTTTAAAAATTATTAACCCTTCATCTCCTGATTTAATGTACTACAAAAGATTTATGAATTTTAAAAAATCTTATAATTAATTTTAGAAATCTAATTTGAGATTTTGGGATTAGGGAGTGGTGAATTTCGAATTCTTTCATCTTGGAGCCATGAGAACGCCACCAGGTTTCCATCAGATATTTATAAGAAGCCTTTTATTTCATGTCAGAAACCTACTCGAAGGGCTTGACATTCCATGCCATGTAGCGACCATAGTGAGAAAAACTAATTTTCTATAAGTTTGGATGTTGGTCGAACCAGGACTTCCGAAAAAACTTATGTCAAAGATGAAGATATCCGGCTAAATATTCAAATGCCCGAACTAGCGGTGTTCATACCAACAGAGTAATCTGCGTGCACATCGGCTCTATCAGAAGTTATGCCTACCCAAGTTGCATACCAATCAAGCTTCAAGAAAGCTAATTGTATCAGGTACGAAGGCAGTTTCTGAAACAATTCCGATTGGAGAAATGGACTGTAGAAGTAGAAATTTTCGCACCCATAAAGTTTCAATAACAGCATTTTCTCTTTTAATAGAAGAAACCTAATTTACAAATGACAAATAGTCCAGTTCGTTAATAAATATTTCTTGCCCCTTTCTAGATCTCAAGTAATTTTCCACGAGTTTTAGATTACTAAAGCTGTGTGCACAGTTGACTAATCTTAACGGAGTGCTCGAAAAAAGCCTGAGTTGAAGAATTAACTGAAGTAAGTCTAGAAAATTTGTCTACTCAATCTGGTTGGGTAAAATAAAATTTCTAAAAAATGAGTCCTCTGTCTTCGATGCAATCATTGGTTTACTCATCGATTTCTTTGAAATACCCGTACCGGTGATCCCCCAAATCTTTTTGCTTCCGCCGGAAAAGCCAGCAGTCGGAGTACGTTTTTTGTCCTCGACTCTAACACCACCACTTTTGAAGCGACGAATTCACTTATCGCTCGGTGCAGATTCACCATAGTTCGAGGAACAAGCAGTGGACGGCGCTTTTTTGAACAAAATTTTCTTTAGCCACAAGACACATTTCTCTGTCAGGGAAAATTGTTGCCCTTGAGGCTCCATATCAATCGCGTGGTGTTATTGGATCTTACTTCTTTGAAAACGACAACGACGAGTCTCTCATTGTCTATACGGAGCGTATTTAGTACAAGACTTAGGCAATTAGTAGCTTTAACATGATGTTCCAAAGGCTATACAACAAGAGAGATTTCCCGGCCGCATAATCTCTTGTCTTGCCGATGCCAATTGGCCACCGAGATCATGGAGATCGTGCGATTTGTATAAAGTACTTTTGACTTACTTAGAGAAATAAAATAAATCAATTTTGTGTAACTTCCTTACCAATTGATGTATATATAAAACCAATTTTCTTCTATTGCCTTTTGACCCAACCCCGTAACAACTCTGATCTATAGTGGCCTCACCCTCCTTGCGGTTTTGGATTGAGAGTATTCTTGTTAAACTTGGCTATTTTAGAGGGTCCATACCTATCAGAAGAAAGAAAATGAATTGTAATAGTTATGAGTCTAAGTAGAGTAGGGTAGCAAGGTGTCTGATAAGGAACTAAAGCAATTTTTCTATTTTCCTTCCTCATTTACAAATGCACCGCCTACGTGACTTTGGCTGAATAAACAAAAGCACGCCATTCTTTCCCCTTTTTGCTGTTTGGCGCTAGTTGGAAACACCAAGTGTAGCCAGTTGGCTCTTCACGTAATCCTTCTAACAGGGTGGAAGGCTTCCTCTTCCTCTGATTCCACAGAACTTTCCAAGCTGGAGCGCTTTTACTCATTTGGAGGACATGTTATTGTTAAGGCTACTGGACCATATAGAAGGAGAGAGAGAATGAGAGTGGGATTTATTTTGCAATCGCCTACTCATTCCAGAGTAACATGTGTTGGCAAGAGCTATTCTGTGTGGGATTTCAAGAAGTTAGTGGATCGACTGTTTGTTTGACGACAGGAGATACTATTTTCCCATATGTAGGCTAGGGACCAAGCGTAAAGTATGAAAAATAACTTCTTTGCGCCATTATTCTCTTGAAATTATAAAAGCACTTTTTTGTTTGGGTTAAAATGAACACTTGTTTTTATTGCGAAAAGTGGATATGGAATCGATTTACATACAAACAATTTAGATCAGAGTATATATGTCTAATTTCAGGACTTTTTATAATTCTTTGTCTATCATCTCCTTTACAATACATATTATAATATTACATATAAATTTAGCAAAATACAGAAAGCCTTAACTACATCTCTCTCCGTGTCCTTTAGTTATGTACATATATATGTATATAGTTACATAAACAATTTTTAAAATATATTTTTTTTTTAATATTTACATTTTTTTTGTTTTTTTTGTATTTGGATTATCTTCTTAAATCCTTGTGCCTGTTGCCCACTGTTTTAAAGGCGAGGTTGCGATTGATTGGGAACTTTGAGCCAGTTTTGTTCTTCGTTTGTTATGTCTGTTCGCGGTTGTGGGAAAGAGTAATTGGGATGCCCTCCAAAAGTTGTGAAGCCTTGTGACGATGTTGGTATAGAGAAGTATTGCCCAGCTGTTGATAAGGAGTAAAATGGCATTGTATATGGTGACATACCGACTGGAATATAAGGCTGCATGTACTGTGGTGGTGATGGCTGCGTGTACTGTGGTGATGGCTTCACGCACTGTGGTGATGGCTTCACGCACTGGGGCGATGGCTTCACGCACTGTGGTGATGGCTTCACGCACTGGGGCGATGGCTTCACGCACTGTGGTGATGGCTCCACGTGCTGTGGTGATGGCTTCACGCACTGGGGCGATGGCTTCACGTGCTTTGGTGATGGCTTCACGCACTGGGGTGATGGCTTCACGCACTGGGGTGATGGCTTCACGCACTGGGGTGATGGCTTCACGCACTGTTGTGATGGCTTCACGCACTGGGGTGATGGCTTCACGTGCTGTGGTGATGGTTTCACGTGCTGTGGTGATGGTTTCACGTGCTGTGGTGATGGCTTCACGTGCTGTGGTGATGGCTTCACGTACTGTGGAATTTGTGGTTGCGCTTTGTTGACAGAAACTTCGAAACAATGCTGAAAGCTTAAGGTATTGCCATCCACGATTTTCTGCTTCTTCGGCAGAGTTGTTACCGAAGCTGTTGGGGTTACTAAGGGACGCTTTAATTGATTTTTGGTAGCCTTATTAGATTGGGGCTGTGGCAAAGATTTTGTACCAAGTCCTTCCCCAGATTTAGTTTGTACGGTTGCTGAAGCGGCCTCCAGTGGTGAACTCATGGTTGGTACAATCTTTTTCTTTAAAGATTTGGTGCATCCACTATGAGCTGTGGTCCGTTGTAATGGCAGTGTAACCACTACGACTTGTGGTTCATTGAGATGGTTGGGACTGGTAAAATATGGCCTTTTCAAGACCAATGATAAGGGAATCAACGATGCCGAAGTTTCTGACGTTGACATCGTTTCGTGTGCTGTTTTGCTGGTTTTCTGTGAAGTGTGCGCTGGAGGTGGTTTTGGTGTATTGATGTTATTTTCAGTATTTTCTTTCGATGCTAATTTGATATCTCCGTTCTCATTTTTTACCGTTGCCGAGGCTGCTGACGTTGACACCGTTTCGTGTGCTGTTTTGCTGGTTGTCTGTGAAGTGTGCGCTGGAGGTGGTTCTGGTGTATTGATGGTATTTTGATTATTTTCTTTCGATGCAAATTTGTTTTCGCTGTTTCCATTTTCTACCATTGCTTGCTCTATGGGGGCTCTTTGTTGAGATCCTGATGGATCTATCATCAACCTATTTTGTTCTCGTTGTTGTTGTTGTTGCTGTTCATTTATTTGGCGCTCTGCAAGTGGTGGTTCTGCGGCTTCTACTTTTTCTTTATCAATCCATGGACGAAAAAAGGGGTCTGACATTTTATTCTACAAACTTTTGTTCTTTTCTTACACGACACGTCTTAATGAGCTAGTCTACGTACATATCGACGATTTTTATTTGCTTCTTTATTTTCTTTTTGTTTTATGGGAATAATACCGTAATAAATGATTTGATTTCCACTTCCAACAAGTTCTAGAAGGTATTAACCCTTCATCTCCTGCTTCAATGCATTACATCTCATTTGAGATATTGGAATCAAGGAGTGGTACATTTGAAGTTCTTTCATGTAGAATCCGTGAGAACGTCGCCAGTTTTCATGCCTTACCGCTTGTGAATGCCTTTGGTAGACAAGATTAGTTCTCGTTTAGAAATTATTTTGATAACTTAGTTGAAGGAAGAAAATTTTTGGGCGGGCTCACACATCTCAGGGGTTCTTTTCTCTATAATAGTGACAATTGTATATATGTTTGCGAGTAAAAAGATTTTTGGTTTTATCAACAGCTCTTTGGTGAGCTTATTGTTTCATTGGAAACAAATTTTCTTTTATAGAATTTTCAGTATCATTTTGAGAATCATATTCCAGATTTCATATTTCTGTCAGGGATATAATGGGCGCTTTGTAATCGCTGAAGTCATTTGCAGCTGAGCTCCTCCTCCGATTCGTGAAGTGCGTCTTGATGCTTTTCACTCCAACACTGGGGGATCTACAGTTTATATTAAGGTCTTCGAATCTCCAATGGATTTTTATGAGAGTCTTTATTTTATATACTCGGAAGGCTGGACATTCCCTGCCCTTTGTTTACAAATGCATTTTACAGTTTTCCAATTTACGTTCAAAGAAATAATTAATGGATGGAGAACCGTGTAAAAACTCAGAGTTCTCTAAAATGTTATGTAGAAGAGGACGTATGTATGTATCTATATTGCCTTTATAATATACTTAGAAACACTTCAGTTAGAATTTTCGGTATAGCTTAATTGGCACCTGTAGACAAAGCTGTAACGAGAGTTGTTGACGCCTGAAGAAAATGGAAAAATGTTCGCATCCCCATCTCTCAAAGTTTCAATTAAAGTTTTCACATTGTTTTAAAGCATTGCATGAACATCCTCTCTTTTAACATGAGCATTCTCGCGTCTGGTGAATCGCGTGATATTTTCTCCTTAGCTCATTCGCATATGAATCAAACTTAAAAAATCTACTAAGTATATTTCTATAAAGCTCCAACGTAAGAGTTTGAAATCGAAGATGAATACTCTTAAGCCCTTGACCCCCATTACAAAAATCGACGGCAACATCGGTTTGGTCAGAAACTTCACAGAACACAAGTGAACAAAACTGCACTCCTTCACCACCGCCAGCATCTCGATGCTGCTCAGCTGTTGTAGGGAAAAATATCAAAATCCCACATCATTCATGCAGCCACACAAATTTCGAACACTTAATAAAATAACCGAAACGGGTCTTACACAAAACCCTATGTCTGCGAACCAGGAAGATGAAGAAATCGTTATCAACCAACGATTGCAATTGAACCAAGCTTCAAGGCAACTACGAGTATGTGTACCAGGTAATAATGACAGTTTCTGCTACAGTTCCGACTGATAAAATAGAAATTGAGTTGGAAATGGAAACAGTTGGCTATTATTATCTGAGTACTCGAAAAAAAGCCTGAATACAATTTCAATATTCAGTTGAAGTAACTCTAAAAAAGTTCTTTCGTCAATGAATTTAGTCAAAGAATGCAAAAATTCGCCAGACAAAAATCGGAAATCTTCGACCACTTTGGTTGATTTGTAGATTCCCCTACTCATTTCAGTAATCGAAAAATCAACAGAGCAACAGTAGATATAGGTTAAGCACAAATTCCAATTATTTATCCCGCGAAGCAACTCCTGGAGCTGCATGGAAACTCTTTGTCAGATAAAATTGGAGTTAACATCTTAATGAGTTAAGCCTTGCAATGATCGATAACATAAATGCTCATCAATCGTTTCGAATGATCGGCAATTATTGTGCACGGAAAATTGATTCGGAGCGCTTGTTTTTTTTTTTTTTATGGAAAAAAAAGAATACATCGTTCATAGTATTTGCTGTCGGTAGCAAGTGCTTTTCCCATATTTGTGGTAATTTTCGAATACGCTCTCTAAAAAATGAGGCACCTCTGTATTCGGTTCAATCATTGAGCCATTCTTCGATTTCGTTAAAAGACCCGTCGTTGACCCTCCAATCGATTTACATCTGTCGAAAGAGCAAGTAGTCGGAAAGAGCATGGTTTGGAAAATAGAGTGGTTGGACTAATGCTTCCGATTGAAGAATTGGTTGTTTGCACAACAAATAGTGGAAGATGATTTTTCGAACAAAAATTTTCTCAGTTTGGGGATACGTACATGAATAAGATCCGAGAATTCCCGAAAAAACTAACTCTCTGGTGTGCTCTTTGGTCGCGAGGTCTGATTGGACCTTTGAAAATGATAACGGCGCAACTATCTATATCTATTCGGGCCATTATGATCGTAGATATCAAATATCTTTCTTCAAAAGGGTGGATTTTTCCTCTTTCTCTGCATTCATCTGCGGATACTGCATCGTATATTTTCGAAGCTGGAGTATTCGCATCCACATGACCTGGCTAGCGCAGCTACTGTTTCTTGATTCGTTGAACTATATCAATGTCATCGTATAACACGCACGGCTTGCCTTTCCATCGTTTGTGACATTCGCCGTAGCCAACGCGTACAGAGCCGTAAATCGTTCCCAAAACTTTTTTCTCGAAGGCCCCCAGAGCCGCTTTATCAGTTGGCGACATCGTCCAGGTTTATACACCAGATAGTATGAATGGGCTTAACTTTTCAATTGCCTATTTAGTCCAAACTAGCATCTGTAGGCAAGAGCATTTCTGCGCTAGATTTTCAGGCTGATATTGTTGCTGGTGTTTATACTGGTTCTGAGATAGACGAAGATATCTGCGACTTCAAAGTTATGACTGTCAACAGTGACAAGGGCGCCGAATGTTGGTTTGATGACAGGAGCTATTTGGCCTTGCCCTCGTTCACTACCAGACCGATAATCTCTGCTTCATTATCGACTCACGGCGTGGTTGTACATACAATAGTTGTACACTCTCTTGTAAAATATTGCGTCCTTTCGACTTAGCTCGGCAGCTCTTATTATTTTCTCTCTCAATAAATTAGAGAAATCGCACGATAGAGCGTCGCCCTGTCTGAAACTTTGGATCGAAGAGATCCTTCCAAATTCTGACTGCGCTTCTGGTGTTTTCCAGCCTTGTTTTACAGAGCCGTATAAGTTTTTCAGGAATACCAAATTCAGCCAAATCGGCATAGAGGCAGATTCTTACTGTACTGCCGAAATAAATTATTTATAAAAATTGCTGCCACCTGGTCAACAGTTGATTATATGTAATATTTAAATACTTTGTGTGTTTGTTTTTAAATGTTTTGTGTGTTTCCCAATGGGATCTAGAATGATTCGCTTTAACTTTTCTCCTTGAAAGGAGCCAGGGACTGATTTATTTGAAAGAAAGGTTCGATTTACCGGAATTATTGTATGAAGGACTTTTTTATAACAATTTTTACAATATTTTCTTATAGTACTTTTCTTTTTCAGAAGTTTGAAAAATAACTTTTCTAATTTAATTATTCTTGAAATTATAACGGTATTTATTTTTACTGCGAAAAGTGGACCTGGAATCGATTTACATACAAATAATTTAGATCAGAGTAGATATGTCTAATTTCAGGACTTATCATCATTCTTCGTCTATCATCTCCTTTACAATACATATTATTATATTACAAATAAATTTAACAAAATACAGTAAGCCTTAACTACATCTAGCCGTGTCTTCTAGTTATATATGTATGTGGTTACATAAACAATTTTTACAAATTTTTTATTTTTCAATTTCTACTTTTTCTGCTGCCTCCGATTTGGTTTTTCTTCAAAAAACCATGCGCCTGTTGCCCGTTGCTTTAAAGGCGAGGTTGCGGCTGATTGCGAACTTTGGTTTATATTGAGCCAGTTTTGTGATTCCATTGTTATGTCTGTTCGCGGTTGTGGGAAAGAGTAAGCGGGATATCCTCCATATCTCTCCGTTGTGAAGCCTTGTGACGATGTTGTAGCAATAAAGTATGGTCTTGTTAATCGGTAGGGTGGCATTGCATATCGTGACCTACTCCTACAGACTACAAAATAAGGTTGCGTGTACTGTGGAGGAGGTGGATGCGTGTACTGTGGTGGTGTTTGTTGTGGATCAAAATTATGTAGCTGACAACTTAACCGACTGCTCTTCTTTTTGATTTTCGACCAAGCTGTTTTCGAAACTTGTGGAGATACATCTGAAATTGGACACTTAACTTGTTTTTTTGTTACTTTTTTCGATTGCGACCGTGGTAAAGTGTTTCTATCAAACTTTTCTTCAGCTTCATTGTGTTCAGTTGCAGTTGGACTATCAGAGGATTTTATTGTTTGCGAAGTTTGTACGGCAACCGATGCTGTGCATGCTGGGGATATCACCGATGCCAACAATTTCGGCGGTACCAACAATGTCCGCGGTACTAACGATGTCGACGGTTCCAACGATGTCGACGGTACCAACGATGTCGACGCTTCCAACGATGTCGACTGTACTAACGGTGTCCACGGTACCAACGTTGTCCACGGTATCAACGATGTCGGCGGTTCCAACGATCTTAACGGTCCTAACGATATCGACGGTCCCAACGGTCCCAACGATGTCGACTGTACCCACGGTACAAACGATGTCGACGGTTCTAACGATGTCCCCGATGCCAAAGATGTCAAATGTAGCAACGGTGTCCACGGTGCCAACGTTGTCGACGGTTCCAATGGTGCCGACGATACCAACGTTGTCCAAGGTTCCAACAAAGTCGCCGATGCCAACGAAGTCGACGATACCAGCGATGTCGAGGGTGCCAACGTTGTCGACTGTACCAACGTTGTCCACGGTGCAAACGGTATCGACGGTACTGACGACGCTGGGGATGTCGTGGATGTCGCCGACGATGTGAACGATGTTGTACTACTTGCTGTTTGCTGTAATGTTGGACCAGTTGCCTCAGAAGTGTGCGCTGTGTGTGCTTGTGGTGTATTGATGGGATTTTGTGTATTTTCGTTCGATGCAAATTCATTTTCGCTGTTTTCATTGTCTTCCCTTACCTGCTCTGGAGGTGAATTTTGTTGAGATTCTGATGGTTCTATTTCCATCTCATTTTCATCATTTTGTTGCTGCTCATTTACGTCGTGATCTACAAGTTGTAGTTCTTCGGCTGCTTCGGTTTCTTCATCAACCCATGGGCGCCAATAGAGATCTGGCATTTTGGTTTATGGTAAAATTTTTGTACTTTTTCACGCGTCACGTCTTTAAAAGTTAGTCTACATAAATATACTTATAATAATATTTTTTTTGTTTGTTTGTTCGTTGATATTGTTTTTGTCTTTCGGGAAAGATACCGTAATGCCGTAATAAATGAATTGGAATTTTTCATTTCCACTTCCAGCAAGTTCTAAAAAGTATTAACCCTTCATCACCTGCTTCAATGCATTACAAAATAGTTATGAATTTTAAAAAATCTTATAATTAATTTTAGAAATCTCATTTGAGGTATTGGAATTAAGGAGTGGTAAATTTGAAGTTTTTTTATGTTGGATCCGTGAGAACGTCACCAGTTTTCATGACTTAGCGCTTGTGAACGCCTTTGGTAGACAAGATTAGTTCTCGCTCAGAAGTTATTTTGATAACTTTAGTTAAAGGAATACAATTTTTGGGAGAACCGGGTTTCTTTTCTCCATAATTGTGAGATATGTATGTATGAAGTGTAGAATGATCTAAGTTAAATTGAAAAATGTAAGGTTCGATTTACTTGAATTATTGTACGAAGACACTTTTTAGTCGAATTATTTACATATGGTTCTTTACTTTCACGAAAGTAAACCAGGGAGCCGGTGCAAAAAGTTTGAAAAATCACTTGTCTGGTTTAATTATTCTTGAAATTATATTGGTATTTCTTTTTATTGCGAAAAGTGGACCTGGAATCGATTTACATACAAATAATTTAGATCAAAGTAGATATGTCTACTTTCAGGACTTTTCATCATTCTTTGCCTATCGCCTTCTTTACATTACATATTATTATATCACATATAAATTTAACAAAATCCAGAAATCCTTAACTACATCGGGCCGAGTTCATTAGTTATGTATGTAACTATGTATAAAAAAATTTTAAAATTTCTTTCCTAAATTTAATTTCCTATTTTTAATTTGATAAAATTAATGTTTTAAAAATTTTCTTGAATTTCTTAAGTTTTTTTTGTACAAATCAACTTTATGAAGTTTTAATAAAAATACCAAAGGATACAAATTGTACATTAATTTTTATTCTTTAACTAGCAGTCTTAGTGATTTTTTTTTTAAATATCGGTCTTGTAACAGTAAAAAATCTAGTTGATAGAATAGTTTGCTCTCTGGTTCATTTCCCGGAGAGAAGTGAAGTGATCCTGCTAATCTAAACAGAAAGCCATCAATTTCAAGAATTTCCACCACCCAATTTAAAGTAAATTAAACCACAAATAGATTTTTTTGAATAGGTCATAGAAAAAGTGATACATTTTCAGTATTTATATACATGAATAAATATGTAAAAAAATGATAAGAAAAGAAATTTACAGGCCAATTCCTACTGTTACCAGTAAAGTAAATTTTGTTACTTTTCTTTAACACCCGAAATTGAATTTGGTATTCTGGCTAACTAGTTACCATGTTTGAAAAAAATTTGGCAGCACTGCCTTTTTCGTCCATGTCAAATTACATTTGCCAGCTGATAAAGTAAATAGAAAAATATTCACATCGAAATCGAAGACGGTGCACAAAAAAGTTAAAAAATTTTATTAATTTGTTTATTAAATCATAAATATTTGTGCCTAATTATGGAAAATATGCCTCGACAACAAAAAAAAAGCTGAATGAAAACGTTATTCTCGAAAACTTCTTAAAATACGGTATTTTGCACTTTTTTCTTCATCTTCAATGAATTTCAGGCCTAAAATATGCCTACCCATTTTGGTTTTTGTATTTTTTCTCAAATTCACAACCCAAAATCAAAGAGCAGATATTTTTGTTACCTCCTATTTCGTTGGTAACAAAATTTACAGGGCAACAGTGAGATCAGAATACGAAATAATAACAAAATTTACTGAATTTTAAATTTTAATACCTAGGTAAAGATTGTTACCACGACAGAATAGGCCTGTTAGCATACTTTCTTTTTTTTAGCATTTTTTAGTGTTTACAAAAGTAAAACAAAAAATTTATATAAATAAGAATATTCCAATATTTAATGCCAAGTGCACATGCAGCACTTTTTTATTTAAAATTATTTAAAAAATCTTTACTTTAGTTCCACTTCTAATAAATACATATCTTTATACCAAAATTAATCTCTATATCCCTTGGTCACGGCCTCAGGAGAAGGTTCTTATGAAAAAATTATTACTATTAGTTAAGTCGCTTTTTGCCTAATTAATACAGAGCTTTTGATTCGATTCCAGCGATTTAAATTTAAATATTTATATATATTGTACTTTATTTTAACATTAATATTTATTGAATCCGCTTCGACAAAGGAAGCCTAACAATAAGTAATAAAATCTTAAATTAAATTAAAACAAAAAATCCATTAGTAAGAATGGGCTGCTGGTTTGACGTTGCTCTTTAGAAGGCTGATTTGTCTCTTCTTTGCAGGTGGGTTTGACTTGTTGCATGGGCCAAGGTGATAGCCAAAGGGTTCGGATGGTTACACAATTTGATTAAGTATTTTTGTGCTGCAGTTTCATTATCTTCTTTGATGGTAGGTATCTTTTGATCTCTATGAATATTTTACGCATGTACCATGGTGCGCCCGTTGTTACTCTTATCGTTTTCGATTGGAAACTTTGAATTATATGTATATTCGTCGAATAAGCTGTGCCCCATAACTGCATTCCATACATCCATATCGGTTTTATTGTTGCATTATATAAGAGAACTTTGTTGCTAAGGCTAAGTCCAAACTTCTTGTTTTAAGGTCAATGTGCAGCTTTTTAGAAGCGATATGTCGTCTCCAAGTTAAGCGCCTGTCCAAGTGGATTCCGAGGTATGTAATTTCGTTAGCTTGAGGGATCGACACTAGTTGAGCTGAAAAGTAGGCCACGTTTTTGGCCTTAGTTTAAGATGCTGATGTAACACTTTTGTGGCTGTAACGGGGCTTCTATGTCGACTTAGTATAGCAGTATCATTCGCAAATGTTGAAGTAATTTTTTTGCTACTTGTAGGAATATCTGCGGTGAACAGTATGTACAATATTGGTCATTTACTTTTACTCTGAATTACCTGTTGGATAAGTAGGATTCAAGGATATTGTGGAAAGTGTTAGATAATGATTTTTTAATTTTATTAGATGAGTGCATAAGTTCGTGTCCGATTCCGCTGGATGCCGTTCGAATCGTTTGATAGTGGCGCTCGTGAAAGAAATATATACTTTTTATATATCGTTGGAAAGGTGACAGTCCGAACTGTAAATCAAGCATAAAATAACTTCATTTTGATTTGAGTTGCTTATAATAAAATATGACGAAAATGATCTTTTTTCGTTGTCCATCTTCCATGCGTCTTTTCACTAAGCAACTCAAATCAAAATGAAGTTATTTTATGCTTGATTTACAGTGCGTAATATTATATTACGAGTAAAAACAGTAGGCGCTGCAACTAAGGATATTCGCGAAGTTTATTAGGACCGTGCTCCAGCACTCCGCACAGTAACGAAATGGTTCGCGAAATTTCGTTCTGGAGATTTTAACTTCGAAGATCAACCTCGCAGTAGACGGCCTTCTGAGCTTGATGACGATGTTCTAAGGACTTTAGTTGCGAATAACTCACGTATTTCGACGGAAGGTTGCCAGTGAATTGAACGTCAACAAATCAACTGCGTTTCGTCGTTTAAAAAAGGTTGGGTACACTTTGAAGTTCGATACATGGGTACCACATCAGTTGAGTGAAAAAAAAGTGGACCGTATGTCAACAGCAATTTCTTTTCTTCGACGGATAAAAAACGAACCTTTTTTGGGTCGGCTCGTGACTGGTGATGAAAAATGGTTCCTGTACAATAATGTTCAATGCAAAAGAACGTGGAAACAGGCACACGAAGGGGCGGAACCGATGTCGAAAGGTGGATTGTATCCGATGAAGGTACTGCTGTGCATTTGGTGGGATATCCGAGGCGTGATCTATTTTGAGCTCTTGCCAGCTGGAGAAACGATCACTGCCAACAAGTATCGTCAGCGTCTTTACCTGGTTTAGCTATCATAATTTTGGATAATATCCGAACATTGAATTGGTACTGAAAAGCTTTGCCAGAAAAACGAGAGCAATGCTTGGCAATTCTTTTAGCATTTTTGGTGGGATACGATCGTCTCCAGATTTTTTTTACGTTTAAGGAGGTGATAATGTTTTTTAGTTCAGCCACAGTCAGTCCGCAAGTAACCGTGTATCTAGAAGCAGTATGGTTCGATGACCAAGGTGCACTATTTGTAACAGTATTTGGTTGAAATACTTTACTGAGGTGCTCTGCAAAACAGTTAGTTTTGCGCCTTTATTAGGACATGAACCATAGTTTGCATGGTTGACATAAATTGTGTCATGCGCTTGGTTAGATTAAGAAACATGGCCTCAAATCTAGTACTGGAAGGCTATAGCGATAGTAAAGAAGAATTTTATGTGTGTGCGTAAGTATTTAGGACTTTAAATTTTTAAAAATACAAAAATCCAAATACGAATACCAGTTAAAAGAGAGAAACCGATCACTACAGCAAGTTTCAGAGTGTGTATATCGAATGTGCGTTCTCGACAACATTCAAACAGAATAATGTGAGCGATCTGTAGCGAAGCGCGCACTGCTGGGATGTACAGTTAAGTATAATACTCGGTAGTGATCGCATCGGTGTTTAGCGAAGCAGTGTAAACAATGTGCTTACATTGTATATTTAGAATAAATGCGTTTTTGAAATAAAGAAGCTGAATATAAACAATGAAAATGTCTTGCACAATTTTGGTTTCGTCAGTTTAGTTCCGGTAATTAGAAAAGATATGGAAAATCGTAGAGTTCGACAGTCAAACGATCATTGTTTCGATTGCCTAGGTGCCAAACATTGCACCAAAAAGAGTTTGGAAGCATTTCAGCCAATTGAATATAGCTAGATACCCAAGGAAGCTCGATGCATGGGTGCTACATGAGTTAACGAGAAAACTTCAAGGACCGAATAACCTATTTTCGAAGCGCTGC